TATCTTTACAAATGAAAAATAATTAAAGGATTAAAATATTACAAAAATGATTATCTTCTACATAAATATAAAAATCACTGCTTTCATTCCGCCTTCATCCCGGGGGCTTTTCAGTTTATTCATGACAATTTGCTTTCGTATAATGTTATTATTATTAGCAGTATTATTTATTATATCCATATTAATATTTGTTTTAATAAAAACAAGCTTAGATTTCCCCACCTCTCAGGTTTTAGACCATATGGGGCACAGCATGTGTATTTGGATATAACTCAGTTTTTTAACACACTTTGTTATTATTGTTCATTTATTAGTTTGCTGGAAATTAGAACTGAATTTAGAAATAGTTTTGAAACTAATTTTTGCGATTACCAAACTAAATTAGTCATGTAGGCAGATGGATATCTTTGCGAACAACACATTTCCTTATCCATAAAAGCGAGCGAAAGTGAAAGTAAAGAATGAGGAGGCTCATCTCTCATTCTGGCGCTGTAGATGCTCTTTTTAACTGTTTTCTCGCTAGTGAAGATATCAGTTTGGTTTTTCTACTTACAAAGTCCGCCATTTAAATAGCAAATGTGCAATGGCATGATGCAACTGACTCTTAAAGAGAATGGGAGATGAAACTCTAATTGGTTTATTCTCAAAACACACCTAGAATTCATTGAGAGAATAAGCTCAACGCTGTTAGACCATGTTCAGCGGCGCAAAGCAGATTTTTGTCGTTAAAATAGCAAAAGTGGATTCAGACTCACCCTTAATGCTTTTGCGCCCTGCGTTTTGGACTTTGCGAAATAGAGCCCATTGACTCATGATTCAATCAGTTGTAAAGAAGTAAGACTGACATATTAAAATCGTGTTTTATCAATAGTTGTATATTATGTTCATACAACAAATTCAGAGCACTTTGAATAGGTCACACACAGCATAAATCCACTCACCATATTATACTCAAATCCAGGGCATTAATATTTTTAATTCTTTCTGGACATGAATTTTGACAACTATGAATCAAAAGCTCTCTTGCAAAATACTAGTTTTACTTAACCAATTTATGTAAAAATTTATTTGCACATTAGAAATAAGACAATAATATGCACCAGAACTCATATCATTGTCATTGTCAATATATGTCATATCAAATTGATCTTTGCGCAGTAAAGCTGGGATTGTGTTATTTTCAAATGTATAAATGAAGTAAGAATAAATTTTTAAAAAAAATTTATTGGCCACCAGGAAAAAAAAAAATTACTTGCCCAATCAAAAAACTAATTTTAATTAGTTATTTCTTAACCACGTTTTAAATAATGTCAAAACAAGCAAACTCTAGTTGTACTGTATATATTTATATATATATATTTTTTTTTTTCAACAAAACTTAAATGTATGTACGACAGACTGTTCTAAAAGTTTTATTGAAATGTATTGTTGGGGATTGGATGCATGTTGGATCTATTGGAAAGCTTTACATAAACAAAGGAAAATTAGGACTCGTTTTAAGAGCTACAACACAATATTTCAGTAAATGTAAGACTTTTTAATGCCTGAAATTTTATTTTTGTAATTTAAGACATTAAGACTTTTTAAGACCCCGCAAATACCCTGTTCTCTACAAACAATTAAATAATACTATGATGACACTGCTTGAAGAATGTTTACAGGTTCTTTTTTTTCCTGTAAAAGCAGTATTTTACATTATAATACAATAAAAGTGTGTGTTTCTTATCATAAACTACACAAAGACTACACAATTGGCTTACTTTAAATAGAGAACCATTTAGTGGATAAATCTATTATAAATGAGACTGATATATACTTTGTTAGAGATCAAACTATTTAAAGATTAGATTATTTATTTGTAGAAGATACATTTGTTGTCATGAACATTGTTTTCACAATATTGACAAATACAAAAACAGTTGATCATGTTTTATTAAATAGCTTCTCCATTTTAGTTAAAACATGACAATTATTAAAGAAAGAAGAAGAAATCAAAGAGTGAGCGCTAGTGACAGTTTCACTACAACAATGTAACTTAAATATAGGGACAACGTTCATGATTTCTTTTTTTTTTTAAGTGAATGATTAATTATTATTATTATTATTATTATTATTATTATTATGAGCTTGGGCACCCAATTTCAGTGTGAGCAAGACTCACTGAAATTATAAAGACATTTACATAATAAAGACATGCAGTCAGACCTGCAGGAGGGACTGCATGACTAATATCGACAAAAATTATTAACAAGAAAACACGCTTGGCTTCAGAAATCAAAAGAAGTTCAGAAGAGCCTACAGTAGAGCAAAAAAAAAAAAAAGTTTCATTATAAATCATTATAAATCACGAGGCTGTGCGATATTGAATAAAATATGATGTGATAGCATGCTAAATATTCCAATATTTGATACACAAGAAGATGTTTAACAAACAAACAAACATGTTAAAACAACATATTCATATTAACAAGTTACTAAAACTTATAAATGTTGTGCAAATATGTAAGCATTAAATGACCATTGCATAAAACAAGTCAGATATTTTAACAATATAAAAAAAGAAAGAAGTAAATCTTAATAGTAAAATAGTCGTTTCAGCATTTTGGACAAGAAAACGAGAAACTTTGGTATTACATATAAAGTATTCTCAAACCAATTTTTAACATTTTGATTTAGTTGAAAATTTAGTTCCTAATTTATGAATTTATTTTATCTCCTCGTCAGATTTGTTCATTCTCCACCTGGTTTTAGAGATGGGGAACCCTAAACCCAACCTAATACATAAAGTAGTGACATTTTCTCATGCGATTGGACTGCTTAAATCACTAATTTTTGGTAAATGATTATTTTGTACAGTTGAAGTCAGAATTATTAGCTATCCTGAATTATTAGCCCCCTGTATATTTTGCCCAATGTCTGTTTATTGGAAAGTTTTTTTTAACAAATTTCTAAAGATAATTCTAAAGTTTTAATTTCTCATTTCTAATAACTTTCTAAAAAAAAATGATGACAGTAAATGATATTTTATTAGATATTTTTCAAGACACTAGTATTCAGCTTAAAGTAAAATTTAAATGCTTCACTGAGTTATTTAGGTTAAATAGGCAAGTCCGGGTAATTAGAAAAATCATTGTAAAAAGATTGTTTGTTCTGTAGACAACTGAAAAAATAGCTTAAGGGGGCTTATCATTAGCCCCTTAATTATTCTAACCAAAATAAAACAAATAAGTTTCTTTCTCCAGAAAAAAAAAACATAAAAAATCTGTAAAAAAGAAAAAAGAAAAAAAATTCTTGCTTTGATAAACATCATTTGGGAAATATTTGGAAAAAAAAATTCACACGAGGACTAATAATTTTGACTTGACAACCGCATATTGTGACGCACATTTGCTAATTTTCGATATGTTGCGCAGCTTTAATGGGCTCAATTTTATTCAACCACACCATCACCTCCTCTGGCCAGCACTAGTACCCTACTTTAGAAATCCTTGATTTAGATCAGAGATGCCCAAACTAGAGCCTGCAAGTAACCTTTGATTTGGTCCGCCATCTTATATGAGAAGAGTGGGAGGATGCGGTTTAGAAACTGTCTTTTCAAATCTGATGTAATCTTTTGTTTTATTGTTAAAAGCTAATTGAACTTAAATGTTCAATTAAATATTGTAACGAATCAGATTTAGTTTAAATGTACATACCTGATGGATAGAGAATAATGCAGAGACAGAGAATAGAGCAAATCAAGGCGAAGGCAGATTCTGCTTGACTAGTGTATTCAGCATTAAAATTCTCTGTTGTCTTTATTGCAGTTATCATTTTAAAAGTTAGTTTAAATGGATTAGTTCATATGATTAGTAATGTTTTTTATTTGTTTTTTGAAATAAATTAGAAAATTACCCATGGCTACTTTAATGTAATATAGTTGGTATATTTACCTTCGGCCCACAGCTCATAATGATAGTTGGTTTTTGGCCCTTTATATGTAAAAGTTTGGGCACCAATGATCTAGATAAACAGAAGTGTCACTCCCTTCATTACTGATTTCTGTTTATCTCAGCATGTAGTTTAATTATTTCAACATGAAGGGCTCAGTCAGCAGTTTCACATATGAAAACCAAAACCACAGACCCTTTATTACACTCAGACCAAAGAGATGAAGATCAGAGATGCCAAGAAGCTCAGACAGCTGGTTAAACACCTCTTGACCTCTGTCCTTAACCTATAACACAGAAAACAAGCAACCAGAAAGACAATTTATCCTGTTTTATAACTCAAATTAAACCAAATCTCAAAGAAAAACAACATACAAAACAACACACTTGCAATCATTACATTTTCTAAAAAGCGAAAAGTACTTTTGACGGAGAGGAAATAGTAAGTAGGCAGATTGAATTGTTGCTTTTTGGATAGTACAAACTGCACTGCGCTCTCTATAGCCAACCAATGTTCTTTCTTCTGTGTTCTACATTTTACACAACTGAAACTCCTAACATGATCATGATCCATCTCAAATATATTTCAGATGTAATTGTGAAATTAAAATGTATTTGTAAAAAGTCACTCACCCCAACAGTCAAGCTCAGCTCTTTGTTATTAGGCAGACAAACAGTCAATTCTCTCCTTTGGTTCTTCATTGTAGAAGTGATCTCTATAAGATCCCTTTTCTTCAGTGGTCTCCTTAAATTGCTTGTCGTAGGCAGAGCTTGAGTTTGTCCGTCTTTAACGCCCTCCCTTTGAAACTCTGGATTTCTGCTTTTAGCTGGTCTTAAAGGCGTTTCTGCCTTTAAAAAGCTTTCTAAGACACCTGCTAGTCTGTAAATTGAAGGAATTACAGAGATACAGAAAGCAATACATAAATGAATATTTTTATTTTTTATAGTTTGGCTGGTCAGAGTGAGGCTTGATTGCAAGACTGCTTTAAAGCAGACCAGACTGGATTAAACCATCTTTATTATCACACTTTTAGTCATTTTTTCTTTTAAAATTATTCAGTAAAACAAGCATTTCTAAGCATGTGTGCAAGTTTTCTTTATTTTTAAAATATTTTTACATTTCTATAACTTAATCCTTGTTAGCTTTTCATCATCACAAACCTCCCACTAAATCACTCAGAGAACATGCAAAATTCTACAAGCACTAAAGCACAATGGCTTCCTCTCTGCAGATTTACAGCGCTGCGATAAGTAGTAAACCAAACGCCAGATAATGAACATGTTTGATTTGGTAAACTTATCCTTCCCACAAGATAAACTGTGAAATCTCATTGTAAACTATGTCCAAAAATCAATTAAAAAAAAACATAAACATGATTATAAGGAAAACAAAGACATGAAAACATTAAATGCGAGTGGCTTAATGTTTGCTTTCTGGGAGAGATTTAAAGCAGCACTTCAAATCTATATTGCTCATAGCACACATCAGAATCATTATAAACAATCTTTACATGGTTTGAGAGTAAATAGCTAAATGGAAAATGTCTTATTGCTGTTGTTCTAGAGGAAGAAACGTGGCCGTTTATGTTCTTGTAAATTTCGAATACACACAGAACACATACAATCATACATACTGTATCTATTTTCTGCCTCCCTCCACTCTGGCTGTATAGAATTTTTGTGTATAAGATACGAATATTGGTGTGTTATGCTAAATAGTATGCATAGAATCCCGAAATCACCTAGTTATTTGCAAAAAAAAAAAAAAAAACTAGCATTTTTGGACCGCTTTTAGAATAAAGAAGTGCATTAATAAAGTGCAACAATAAAGTATGTTAGACTTAATAGAATAGTTCGCCCAAAAATATAAATGTACTCACTATTTCCTTTATTCTGTTGAACACAAAAGAAGATATTTTGAAAAAAAGTTGAAAACCTGTAACCATTGAAATTGTTTGGAACAAGTGAAGGGTGAGTAAATGATGACACAATTTTCAGTTTTAGGGGAACTATTAACCTTTAAAGTGTGAAGGTGGTAAATAATCTCAGCAGTGATTTGTAACATTTATTGATTGACTCAAAAAGCCATTAAAATGACCGAAATATACTATTGTCCTATTTACAATTGTTGTACCGTGATGAAAAATGCCAGCCTGATCCCTTGAGGAAACATAAGTATTTTACGTTTTGCCATTTTAGGGGCTAATTCGTACAAATTTGAGTTCAGTCAAACGAAAATGTACAATCTTAAAAAAGAGGCGTGGCACCTAACCCCAACCGTCATTGGGTGATGAGCAAATTGTACTAAATTGTACGAATTAGATTAATTAGATTAGAGATGGCGTTGGAAATGCATATCCCTACATGCCCCAATCCATTCCAAGAGTGAAAGCTATGGAAAAAAAACAGTGTGTCAATTTAGTTACAAAATACACCTGTACAAAAAATCTTGAGAGTAAAAACCGTCCCTCGATATCCCTCATTTTAAAAGGTCCTTTGAGATTCAGTAAGTTTAATGCACAACACAAGGCTTTGTCTTGCACACTATATATAACACATTACATTTACAAGAAACAAATTCCAGTAATTCACTAAATTTAGAATTTAGGTCTGTAGATTTTAGCTTGACATGCAGAGTTCATAACATCTTTAATTAGGTCCACACGAAATCTGCAGATATTTTTAATCCACCATTCAATAGATTTAATTATGGAAATATACATGTTGAGTTTTTATAATAATTTCATTAATAATATTCAATAATATGCACATTCATATAGGGTTATTGTACAATTAAGTTTGGAAACTACAATGTTTTGTCTTTAGTAGATATATTATATCAAACAAGTGGATTAAATTGGATTTGCATCGAAACCTTAAACTAAAGTTAAAAAGTTTTGTTTTAATTAATTTGTTGATTTTTAGTAACTATATTCTCAAAATCATTCTGCATAAACCTGCAGATTTTATATAAAAATAGCATAAAAAATTAAAAAATAAATAAATAAATAAGTCAGAAGAAGCTCTCTGGCCCAGTCTATGATATTTGAATACATATAAAGTGTGTCTAAACACAGTTAAGAAATCAGCATATGAATCTCAACAATGGTGACAATTCTTGCAGCAGTGCATGCTGGTTTTGCATGATGTTCCTAGTCTACTCTGCAGAATAAAGCATGTCACTATTGTTGAGATTTATACTCTTATTCTTGATGTCAGTATTTCTGAAGAAGTTAAAAAATTGTAATTCAAAATATTTTTAACCCCAGTTGAAAGAAAACTTGTTAAAGCTGTTGATTGTGTTTTATTAATTGCTTCTCCGTTTAAGTTAAAACTTTAAAATATCTTAATTTTCATAATCAAAAAAGAAAAGGAATAAACGAAAGAGTTAAAGCTACTATGCAGATTTAATATAAATAGATTTAGACTTTTTAATCTGACAGAATTTGGAATTTCTCCATTTTAATTAGATCAGACTCTTTCTTAAGTAATTATTAAATATTATTACATAGACTAGAATAGATGCTTCAACAACCCACTGAAGACAATGTTAGCAGCTTTGTTAACATTAAATACAAAAGGTAAATAATGAGCTTTTAAAAATCCATTTTCAAATTGTCCTCCCCTGGTTTAAAATCTGTGCATGTCACAGCTTATGAAAATATTGAATGTTGTTACACTGTTTTTTATGTTGCATCATTTTCCCACATATGGTTCCCACGTGTCATTGTGGTTTAAAAAGGTCTAATTCAAAAAATAACTCTGACACAAACAGGATGCACTCAATGCTCTTCACAGCTTAAAATCAAATGAAGAATCATGCATTAAAATACAGCAGTTGCCAGGTTATCGTTTAATGTTTGAATTTACTGTAATTATTTTGGGTGCCATGGCAAATGTATTACTGGGAACATTTTTTTTAATGCTCTGAACTCGATGAGAGTGAAATTAAGCACTGAAATCTTGCATTTACAAACACTAATGCTTCTTTCTTTTTTGTAATTACAAGAACACACAGTATGCCTATATGCATGCAGCAAAAATCAAAAGCATCAAGCATCAACCACGGTGAGATAAACAATATGCTTTCCTCCAACAGCAAAAACAAAAAAAAATCATACATTTACTGTAATGAAAAAACGCATGACAAACAGCTGAAAGTACCTAGCTTTTCTGCTGATTGTTACCTAAATGGCAACTAATATCAGTGATATGTGGTAATTTCGGGACTTGGACTTTGTTCATTTTAAAACAAACAAATATTGCACTTTATGAGTAAAGTGCTCATGACCTAATTTTATGCTGACACAGAATTATGGTATAAATAGTTTAATTCACATTCTACAGACATTGCACACATGCACACACACACACGCTCACAGCACAGAAGACTCGCTGCTCAGGCTCTGAACTCCAAAATAAAACAGACCAAAGTAACACTTTAAAATAACTACACACTATGAATCATTTGTTAAGCATTAGCAAATAGTGAATTCATTATATGTTATGCATAAACTCTACATTAATAGAAGTTAGCACATGTACAATGTGTAACGTGCTTAATGGTTGTATTTTCATATTTTGTTAATTATTATTTTTTCATTAATAAATTAGGTATCACATCACTTACAATTCAGTTAACTGAGTGATGCGGCTGGTTTTTAAAGATTATTCAGAATGCCTAAGTAAATAATTAACAAACTATTCAAATTAACATTTTTATTGCTTATCATTCAGGCTCATATTAATGGTTTATTTGTAATTTAGTAAATGCTTTATTTACTCAACTTCATCCAGGGCTATTTATGCTTTATAAATCCCTTATAAATGACAATTAAAGGCTCAGTTCTATTCTAAACAAAAAACAAAGAAAAGCAACTTCATTCATTTCTAATCATTTGAAGATGCACAAATGAAACTAATAAAAAATAAATAAATAAATATTTGCAATCTGAACTAAAATAAAATCACTGTGTGGTTTATTAAACATCGCTAAATAACACTGAAATGATGTATCATTGGTAAATTATTATATTGTTGTAGTTTTATCCAATTTTATGTTATATTTTGATACTTCTGTTATTCGTCAACGTTTAAACTGTTTAGACTGCAGTAATTTTACTATTTAGATACGATTGCAAACATTAATTGTTCATTTGATACAGAGTCATTTATAAAACAAATTAGTCCTCACTTTAGATTAGGTCACAAAACTGGATGAAGTCGAGTTAATAAAGCATTTATTAACATGTAAATTAGCTATTAGTAAATGCCTGAATAGTAATAATAATAATAATATATAATTGTTGATTTGAATAGGTTATCAACCCTTTACTAACACATTCTGAATGATCTTAAAAAACAACTACTCTTAAATACAAATGATTTGAAAATAATGCAATACTTCATTTAGTCATGAAAAATTAATTAGTAACAAAGTATGACATTTTAAATGTACTTATAAGTCAAGAATACAGCATTTGTATCTGCAGTTATAAACTGCTTACTAATGTCTATTAATGTAGAGTTAATGCTTAACAAATAATGAATTCACTATTTGCTAATGCTTAATAGTTGATTCCTAGTGTGTAGTTATTATAAAGTGTTATCCATACCAATTACTGAGGAGGAAATATAAGTGCTCGACATCAAAGACAACCTCCTTCGTTTCCAGTAATGTCTCGTGATACTCCAGGCCTGCTAAAACCATTACAAGTAGCTAGTATTTGATGTGTTACATAATATTATAGCTGTAACTATCCTTCTTTGACATCCAGTTGCACCCATGTGACACGACTAAGTGAAAATACATGACCTAATCTACACAACTCAAATATCAGTGGCTCATATTTGGAAACGATTGAGGTACAGTTTCCTTTCAGCAATAATTGTGAGATCTTTATAAAACAAAAAAAAAACAAAAAACTGTACAGTCTCAACCTTTTAAATATCGCACGCAAAATATATATTGTACACTCCTTTCTTTAACATGCGCTGACACTACTACTGGTAAGAAAAGATACTTAAATGCCCGTTGTTTAAAGATTTCTATACACTAGCTTTCATCCCAGTGATGCGTGTTTATACAAAAGAAAAATGAAGGCGAAGATTGAAGAGTAACATTCATGTACAGAGTTAAAAACTAAAATTACATTCAAAACAAAAAAGTCCCCCGGGATTTAGCTCAAAACCAAGGGCTTTCACTGGCAAACGGTACAGTATTATATGAATGGAAGCTTATAGTAAATGATAGCTAACAAAACTGCTTGTGTACTGAATAGTGCATAAGTGGTGGGTTTTACAGTTAAAGGAAGACTAACTGAAGTCTAGTATGAGGCGTTTGGTGAAGGCACTTCCAGGTAAAGCTTTCCTTAGAATAGCACCTTTAACATTCATGACTAGCCAGTAAAAAGCCCTTGTGTGTGTGTAGACTGTAGAGCCGCGTGCCTGTATAAGGTTTTACAGCAAACTAAAACCCAGTATGTACTGTAAGAGTTTGTTCTTGTTGGCCTGAGGTATGAAGGTGCTGCTCAGCTCCAGACGACACACACCATCTTCTCGTCGTTCTTTTAGCACCTGTACAGAGAGAGATGTGCATTATTCTTGTGTTAGGTTGAGAATCAATAAATAGCTGATCTGAGAAATCTTAAAACTGAAGTGAAAGCAGAAAAATCAGTCCAAAGCAAATAAGGAAAAAATATTAAAAAGCCTTTATTGACGTCAAACAACTGCCTTCATCAGGGTAATCAGTTACCTGTTATCCTAATGAAGGCAGTAGTTTGCCAAAATGTGTAGGCGCAGTTTTAAAGAATTGCCATGTCAATAAAGGCTGATTTTTGCTGTTTTTTAATGAATCCCTTACCCACCAATACATTAAAGCGACCCCAGAGCACTTATTGTTTGATTTTGGATTTTTATACATTGAAGTGAAAGCATATTGTGTTTATAAAAATAAACAGTAGATCATGTAAAATCTGTAAATTCCCCTTGTACATTACAAACATTATTTTTGTTTGTACATTGTATTTAGCGCTTCACTTTTCCCACATATTTAAATGTAACAGCCTTATTCCAAAATTTATTAAATTCATTTATTTCCTCAAATACACACAATACCCCATAATGACAATGTGAAAAAAGATTTTTGGAAATGGTTGCAAATTTATTAAAAATAAAACGCCTGAAAATTCACATGTACATCAGTATTCACAGCCTCTGCCGTGAAGCTCTAACTGCTTTGGCATGCACTGTCAACCCTGGGACCTTATATAGACAGGTGTGTGCCTTTTCAAATTATGCCCAATCAACTGAATTTACCACAGGTGAACTCTAATTAAGCTGCTGAAACATGAATGATCAATGGAAACAGAAAGTACCTGAGCTCAATAGAGCTTCACGACAAAGGCTGTGAATACTGATGTACATGTAATTTTTCAGGTTTTCTTTTTTTAATAAATTTGCAACAGTTTCGAGTAATATTTTTTAACATTGCCATTATGGTGTATTGTGTGTAGAATTTTGAGAAAATTAAAGAATTTAATCCATTTTGGAATAAGGTTGTAACATTAAAAAAAATGTGGAAAAAAAGTAAAGCATTATGAATACTTTCCGGATGCACTGTACATGCAAATAGAATAAAAATCTAGTTCTATACTATTTTATAGTACAGTATTTAATCATTTTGCCATGTTTAAATTGTTAGCTTTTTATATTTTGAACATACTTCTGTTTATTTTATTTTCAGTGAAATTATTTTTCAGATGATTGTTCTCTCACCCCAAGCTCCTTGAATGTTTTCACTGTATTCTTTACGAGGTAGTGTGTGGCACTCTCTCCTAAACACAAGAAAAACAACAACATGTTCAAAGATAAATATCAATGCTTTTAAAAATGTTATCAAAGCAAAAGATATAAACTAGTCACAAATACGGGACAGGAATGAAGTGGAAACGAACACTACAAATTTCCTCTGTTCCATTTAGCTCTCAAAAAACAGAAAACCCACTCTGTGGCTTACCATACATAGAAACTCCTCTTTCTGTGCGTGTCAAAAGATATTTGAAAAGTTGATGTGTGTAGTCTCTCTCAGAAATGGGTGAAGTCAGGCTGTGTATGAAAATTGCTGCCCCACTGTAGGCCTCCAGCACTGGGGTGAGAATCCTCTGCAGAAAGGTATAAAATTCCTGGTGCTCAGCTGATGGGCTCACCTAAAGTCAAATAAAAAAAGGAAAAAAAAACAACCATGTGTAATGGAAAATTGTGTCCTTTGAGCTGTCTAATGTAGGGGTTAAAAACAAAAACCACAGAAACTATGCCTTGTTGTTGGAAGATTTAGTAGTGGAAATAAAAAAATATTCCCACCACTATCACAAACTCTCTTTGTTCCATCAGTGTGGAAATTGATATCAATCTGGCTGAAACAAGCCACATAAAATGGGTCTACTGGCTTTAGTTTTTTTTTTTTAATTTACACATATTATTATCATTATTATAACTATTAGTATTAGTAATATAAGAATTATTTTAAAAATATATAGAAAAGCAGTGATACATTAGCACCTGTTAGCTTTAATTGTGGGGAAAACTGGATCATTTGGAGCTTTTGTCAGCTAATTTCATCTTACAGGTTAATATCATTTTTTGGGGCGGGATCAAAATTGGTGACGTAGCGCGAATCTGCTAGTGGAGTGATGGTGCATTGGTTTCTCATTATTATTCATAGCAGTTTTCTTATCCTATGGGAAGACCCTGATTCTTCATTATTCATGAGAGCACATGCTTTCGAAGACAAAGCAGACCTGACAAACTGTGAGACCCAATGACTAGGTGAGACGGCGTCTGCGCACATCACGGGGTCATATTTGTATTTCATGATCCACAATTTTTGCTGCATGTTTTTCCTAGTGATGCTGTCAAGCCAATACAGCAAAGCTGTTGATTTGCAGCAAGCATTTTTGTCGGGAGAGCTGTATGAGAATTAAAGAATGTCAGACTTTGTCTTTTATCAGTTGAATTTATGATTCATTACCATTAAGACACATCACCTATATCTCTGCTGCCGTGTTCACACATGTTTAAAATCCTCCAGATTGCTGGCAGGGATAATGGTTGAAATAGATTGGCAAGAGACCTGCTGTACTGCTATCCACTGTGTCTGCATTCTGACCAGGGGACTGAGAAGGAGAGAAGTCCTCCTCATGTTTAGTGTTAATATAAACATGATTATCTTTATAATGATACAATAAATTACATGCGTTTAAGAAATTAAGAATAACAAATGTAGCCAGACAATAAATTACTTACTGTTTTTTTCTTTACATTTTAATTTTGTAAACTATAAAGTCATGGGTCTCCTCATGGTTTGCGTCTCATTTTGTGAGCCAACTGACAACAGTTGTTCGCTCCACCCTTTTTCCCCTGCTCCGCCGGCCACGCCCACTCCTCCATGCCCATCTCTGAGCATTTTTTGAAAAATTTCTGAGGTAGATATATATATATATACACATACTGGGTGCTATGTTATAGTAGAACAGTTGAGTTTAAGCTCATATTATAAAGACCTTTAGGTAACGGTCTCTTTGTTCATCTCCAAAGTCACTGTCTTCATCCTCTTCATCACTTCGCCAAGAAAGAGCCTCTGGAAACTTCTTGGGCCAAGGCTCCTCAGATGGACTCAACTCCTCCTGGTCCTCCTGAATGTAAAAACAAAACAAAACATATTTAACTAACTTTTTTTTTTTTTACTAAAATCTATTGTTATAATTATTATTTATTAATTATTGACAAATATTATTAACATCATAACAGGTTTTTAATGTATAGAGCGGGCAATAATAAATTAGAAATAATTAATACAAAAAAATCCTTCTGGAATTTTCCTTGACCCAATCAGGTCATGGGAATAAGCCAATGGAAAAATGTCTCAGCAAACAAAGACATTTTCTAAGATGCTAACACTCAAAGCTACTTTACTCCCTAAATCATTCCAACATCTTTGAAGGCAATTTTCAGTGACAATTTATTTTACAATGTCTGTCACGTTACATGTACTTACTGTAGTAAACTCAATAAATAAATTAGTATGCAGAATTACATGCAACGAACCGTAAACCACACAGTGAAACATTGTGCTAGCATTTTCCCCTATTAAGTACTGTAGCTTTAACTCCCCAAAACAACAAAGCATTGGCAAACTCACCTCAGCTACAATGAGCACACCATACTCAATTAACCTCGTAATAGCATCATGGAACACCTGGTACAAAGTCTGACAGGGCTAAAGAAAGGAAAAACAGTACATACAATTTACAATACAACATACAATCATGCTGCCAAACTGAGTCAAAGTCAATGAGTCAAAGATGAGACCTCCAGCATCAATTTAAGCTTCAAATTTACAAAAGCTAAATTAAATGTACATAAAAAGCCTATTCAAATGCAAAAAAGGACATCTTTCAGTTTTCAAACTTACCGTTTCAAAAATTGGATGAAATAATATTAAAGTTCAGCATATTTATAAAGTGAAACAACCTACTTATTATGGTCTGTTCATAAAATAAATGTATTTTGGGGCTGCACAGTGATCATTAAATAATAAGGTTTAATATTTCATAAATTTATTCTTTTAAATTTTTTTGATTTATAAGTTATTAAGGTAGGGTGACACGTTGGCTCAGTGGTTAGCACTGTTGCCTCACAGCAAGAAGGTCGCTGATTTGAGTCGTGCTGGGTCAGTTGGAATTTCTGTTTGGAGTTGCCCGTTCTCGCCATGTTGGTGTAGGTTTCTCCGGTTTCCCCCACAGTCCAAAAATATGTGCTATAGTTGAATTGGATCAACTTAATTGTATGTCATATAAATGAGAGTTAAAAATACTCAAAAAAATAAACAAGACTAATTAATAACAAAGACAACTGCTCTGATGTTGAAAAAGCTCTTTTATTACTGACATAAAATACCTTTTTAATTCACTGCACATTTAAATGAGAATTTAGTATAGAATGTAAATAAACAGCTGTATTTCAGTAGAAATGCAATATAGTGTTAAGAATCAAAAATATGCAAATAAATATGCAAATAACATAGGGGAAAACGAATCTAGCGGCTCTAAATTACATTTCCTTATCGCATATGTAAAATTTTTTTGGTTTTGCTTTGGAACTATATTAGTTGTGAGTGAAACAGAGAAAAATCTGTGGCTAGTTTAAAAGGTTAAATAATGTGAAACTATCACATACCGGATTTATGTGTGTATAAGGGACAGTCCTCAAGCGCTCAATACAAAGACATTCAATGAATCAACCCACGGTTTCAACCTAAGGTCAATGCATGTATGCCAAGTTTAGTTTCAGGGAACTTTTTAATTGTGAGTTAAAGAATTTAGATAAAAGACTTCAATCTGTGAAAAATCTGAAGTCAGCATTTTAACATGTATTATTTCCACATTGCTAATATAGACTTGCACAGATTTTACAGACAAAAATGCCACCACAGTAATGCCCTGTCTCATTTACATTCAACATGGTATTATTGTAAACTGTTTTATAATCTAACCTCTATTTCTACTAAGAATAGCATCTAAATTAATATACTAATTGCAAATAAAAATACTATTATTAGATATACCATAAATAGAGTACATTGCTACTTACACAAAATTGTTTAGAAAGTTTTGCTGTTTTCACTTAGAGTACTGCAAATTTACTAAATAGCAATTTTTAAAATCTAATTGCCATGTCTACTGTAAATAGCTTCTTTCCATATTTGAAGTTGTGCAAATATTATCTACCTCTAAGAAAAGGTGCCATTTTCCCTTAATTGTGCTATAAAATGGCACTAGTGTAACTCCGGCTGCATTTATACACAGCATATCGTGATGATTTATTTAGATTTTGTGATCGTATATGATTTTTTATTGATAACCCGCTTACATTATCTTTTAAAAGTGACTCACAAAAAAACTGAAAAAATAACAAAACGAGGGTGCTAACAGACATCCCTGATGATAAAGAAGCGCTCTTTTCTCCATTTCCTGTATTAAAATCGTTCACACGGTTAACATTTTTCTTTTTTTTTCTTTTTGACAGCTTGTTTTGCTATAGCTTATGACAAAGTTCTCATTTGGCCATCTTCTTTTGATCTAGGCATATTTAAACCAGTAGACATTTTAATGTTCATGGCATGATTTCTGCATGTGATGTATGCAATACAGTAGTTGCATATTAGTTTATATTGTTAAGATGTTGGATGTTGCGCTCACTCTGTCTCTCGTTAACATGCTTAAATGGATGGACAATCCATACATGTTTTTTTTGTCCTTGTTTATGTGATTTAGGGTTTGAGACTATGTTCCAAAATGAAAGCATCGGATCTGATGTCATACCGTTTTTAAATGACGTGCGACTCGCATTGACAGATAAAAATCCGATCTACCTGCTTACACTGCAGACGCAAGGGCTTGTATCAGATTCATATCGGATAAATTAGCACATATGAACAAGGCCTGAATCTGATTTGAGTAAATCGGAATCCATGTGATTTATTTCTGCTTACACATACTGTATGTAGACCATATCTGATCTGTGCCACATGGGAGGAAAGAGTTTATGATAAAATAATAAATTATAATTAGGTCACTTAACCATGCAGTGTAAATGCAGCCTAAATGTAAATAGCATCTATAAATGTTTCCTTTTTAAAAGGTTTAGCTTGACATTATATCCTAATCGAGCCACAAGATGGAGCTCCTGCTTTAGTTACGTACCAGCGCCACTGCCACCTCATTGGACAGAAAGTGGGAGAGGCCTGCAGCTCTGCGGATCAGTCTTTCCTGGCTGAGCAGCGTGGATGAAGGATTCTGCTCACTTGCTGAAGCTGGCGTCTGCTCTCTCAGCAGGGCCAGAGCACTGCAGGCTAGCAAAATACACAACTCATGTCACTCTTTGAATATCACATGCTGTATGACTGAAAAGAAAAATTATATGTACTATATGGTGTTTTTACACTAGTAGAACAAAAGATTTTATGTAAAAGTTGTTTGTTTTGCTTATTATTTTTAAATAAATATATGAAATTACAAGGTAGCACGGAGCAAAGGCTCTCACCAATGAAACAAATATGTTAGCTAAGAAAGATATCTTAATATTTATTTCAATATTTCTTCAATGTACTATATGGTCTTTTTACACTGATGAAACAAAAGGTTTTATGCGAAAGTTGTTTGTTTCGCTTATTTTTTATATAAGTATATAAAACGGAAAGGTGGCATAGGGAAAAGCTCTCACGATCAAAACAAATGTCTTCTCTAAAAAATAGCTTAATATTTTATCCAATTCTTCAAATCAGTTTCACAGGTAATTTTGCAGTTCATTTTTAAAAATATATTTTTAATAATACATTTTCTCATCCCGTTTTAATAGTTTTGTTAAAAAAACAATAATAATTTAATAACAGTACTGAGAATAAGATATTTTATTATTTAATTACCACTATATTTTAAATACGATAGTTTCATTGATCATATAGCGAATTATCACCATAACCTAAACATTACTGATAAACTATTGTTTCAATTTCCTACAACAAAGCTGATATTTTTATTTAAATAAATTTATTTGATTCTTTATCTACAACCTTTTCAAAAATATACATAATATATTAGACTGAGTTAGAGGAGAAACAATGGTGCACTGATGTCCACAAAGATCAGTCAGATTGCCACATGAACAGTAAATGTGGTGAGCTGAGGTAAACGTTTGCACCACCTAGTGGTTTAAAGTAAGTAAAAAGTAAGTAAAGAAGTCACTCTAAACCAGTGGTTCTTAAACCTTTTCAGCAGAGGGCCCCTTTGTGTAGGGTGAATTCCCCCACCCAAAAATACACACAAATCATCAAATTAACAACTTACTTAAAAAAGGGGTGTTTAAACTTAGTCCTGGAGGGCCAGTGTCCTGCAAAGTTTAGTTCCAACCCCAATCAGACACACCTGGGCTAGCTAATCAATCTCTAAAGCTGCGGTCACACTGCACTTTTCTCCACATAGACTTCCATTCATACGCATGGACTGATCGCTTGCTTTTTTTTAAATGTCTAATCATCTTGTTTAATCCCGCTCCTTTTCGCAGCGCCGTGCAACAGAATTTCGCATGCTTAAACTCTAGTGTGACCGCAGCTTTACCAGGCTTTCTAGAAACATCCTTGCCGGTGTGTTGAAGCAGTTTGAAGATAAAATCTGCAGGACACCGGCCCTCCAGGACCGAGACTGGACACCCCTGACTTAAAACATTTTAAATTGTACCATTCATGCTCTGGATTCATTTTTGTGAGATGTCATTTGAGTTGATGTGGTTTCAGTGCTTCAATCAATTGATAAAATCTTCAAGCACAGTGTTTACTGTGGTCTGATCTCATTGTATTCCATAAAGCCATATTTTGCATACGAGTCATCACATTTACACAGATTTTTTTCTTGCTAGTCCAGGAGAAATTATTCAATAAAAATTCCCGTGCTTATAGCGGTGCAGCACAGCACTTATTTTCCTGCATGTGAAGGCATCAACTACATTTAAATGACACAAACATCAAGCTTAATATTTGCAGTAATTTTGAGCTCAAATTATAATAAAGAAATGCATTAACCTTCACTATGATGTGGGACCCAAACATTAATCCAGGTGGCCCTGTTGATTACCCCTTATCTGGAATTTCCTTGAGGCCCCCCTAGCGCCATCTGGTGGCCCCCAGTTTGAGAACCGCTGCTCTAAACTATTTGCATTCTCATGCATAAGAAAAGCAGCAGCTTGCTCTATATCCTCTGCTACTGTACATGTCACATGCATTTTGTGCATAGAAATGCACTATCCATTGTTGTAAAGTGACGTTACTGGTGAATGTTTTCAATGCACTGTGTACATACACTCCAAAAAGTATTTTTGCTTGTTGTTCAAACTACTTAAATAAAATGAGCTGAACCAACACAATTTTTGAGTTTTTCTGAGGGACTACTTCATTGTTTCATGTTTAATCAGCTTAAATTAGCAAAAAAAAAATTAAGTTAACCTAATCTATTTGTGTTGGGACAACAAGAAAGAATTGTGTAGGACCCAGCAATTTTACACAGTATGATTAATGCATAATCAAATTTAGGATCAATGTTAAAGTGGCAAATTTCTTAAGACTTAAGTCTTTTACCTATGATAGCATCAGCGATGAAGACATGGAAAAGGCCGTTGCTGTAGAAATTGAGCTCAAAGAGCGCGGGTACTGTGTTGCTTGGAGAAATGATGAACTCCGTGTTTTTGTTGGTGCTGGTGACATTCACACAGTTTCCCAGAAGGCTGAGTGCATGCATGACAACATCCTCTGAGTTACCAGAAAAACCCAGGTCGAAGTCCCGTGACAAGATCTCTTCCTTCATATTGAAGAAGTCCTCCACCAGTTTGGACAGCAGAACACCCTGTCCAATCACAACCAGTTACAGTACAGTGGTTCTGAATCAACAGGACAGTATGGAAGCAGTGGTATAAAGAGAAACTTGCAGATATACCTGTCTGTGCCGATACAGGAGAAGACAGGCTACGATGTGAGTGGACATGATTGCTGAAGACTTACTGGCGCCTATGGGAAAGACAGAAAGAAGATATCAGATTGACTGACGGTTTAGCCAAATCAAATAGCAATACACTGCAAATATCAGACCCTTCAGGGTGAAGCATGTCAATTTTTTTCACATAAAAATCCAAGGCTTAATATGCAGAGACAACTATTATCTAATAGTCTTTCATAGGTTTCAGAAAAGTACATGTTAGCATACATGAACATGATAGCAATCCTTATATGAACTTCAAGCTAATAACTGCATACCCAACAAGAAAAACATCTTAAAGTCCTCTGAAAAATGTTGTATAGGAAGAAGTAGGCAATGACTTTGAGTCAGAAAATCAAGTTCCTGACAGCCTCTATATAAAACATTTAAATGCAAGCTGCAATTCCACCTCAGAGTGCCGATCCTCTGACCTCCTGTGCTCAAAAAACAGCACCAATAGGGGGCATTGAAACACAGAGAGATACGATTGGCCAAAAAAACAATTACCATGGCAAAGACTGACTGTGACCGGCATTAACCTATAAACAGTCAGGTGTTGTAGATACAAAAAAAAACATTAATCATGTTTAACAAAAAAAAAAAAATAATAATAATAATGGCTAAAATAATGTATAAATAAATAAATAATAATAATAATAATTAGTGGTGTAACAGATCACAAATCTCACGGTTCAGATCACAATATGGTCTTTTAGACACGGATCAGACCATTTTCGGATCAGACAAAAAAAAAAGGAGACAAATGTAATTTGCTTTCCATTTATTACAAAAACACCACTGCAAGACATTTTTTGGCTTTAAAAAACAGAAGTTAAAACCTGTACTTTTATTACAAATAAAATGAAGAAATAATCAGCTGAATAAAAATAAATTGTAAAATATTCAGTACTGTGGAAAATTCACTATTTTTAGTCTCATTTTTAGTAAATGATTCAGTTTTTCACTCATAAAACTTCAACGCTAGACGATCATTTTTGAAGAATTATTAGGTGGCATATTTTTGATTGCTGGTTGTGGCCATCGATTGGTTAAATATGGTAATTGCTGCCTACAACATTGAGCACATGACGGTGATTTTAATCTTTAACTAAACATCAGTGGTTTTATCTAAACTATAAACTGTAATCCCAGTACTGCTGTGTTATTTGACTGTTTGTATCCTCTAACTCAAAAGACTAAAGACTGAATCTTTCTTGATTTTTGCATTTTTCAAACATGGATTTAAATGCAGCGATTGGAGGGATTAATGAACATGCACATATGGCACAAAGTTCTAATTTATGTTGCGTGAGTGTTGAGATCACAATCTTTTAATGATTAATTGTGCAGCTTACACTGTATGCATTAATTTAGGCTAAACAAGTAGTGACCACCAAAAAAAAAAAAACAAACACATCACATCCTGGTAGGTTATGACTTCTTCCATCATCATTATGTTTAATGGAAAGACTAAATGCTTTCATACATGTGAATTAAATGATGCCAGAGGCAATCTCTCTGCAATTGTTACAAATTTAAGCTCTATCTAAAAGTAAAAATAAATGTATTAATCAGTGAGTCACGTGTGTTCCGAACAGTACAATAGTGAATGACTTTTTTAAATACCCTTAAACTTAAACAATACCAAATTGAGAAAATCTGCACAGATTTTTCGAAAGCTAATGCCACAAAGATTAATAGGTAAAATTATATAATAATAATAATAAATTCTAATGTATCTTGTGAAATATGAAATATATGCCCATTTTATCCAATGAAAGATTATAAATAAGCAGTACTGCCATCTGCTGACAACAAGTTTGGCCCAACCTGCCACCATCATTGCTTGAAGAGAAAAAATTTAAATCATTTTTTTCACCCACTGTCTATGAAACATCATGGCCTTTAAGGTGTCCTTACTGAAGAGAACGTGCTTGGCCAGGTCAGCAATAACCTGCCTCCTCCAGGGCTCGTCTGACAGGTCAGAGTTCAGATGATTCTCATTTTCACCATTAAAAACAGCCTGATCAGGTCTGCACAGAAAAACACAATCGGACTTAATCCCATTAGCCACACATCTTTCTACATAACAACAGACACAGCAGTCCACATAATTGTTGGTTGCTGGCAGTCTAAAGGCCATACTGTGTAGCGATGATGATGGGGAGAAGAATCTGCTCCAGCGTCAGAGAGGCCTGGAGATGTCGACTGCGCTGAGTATCCAGGTATTCCTAAAGCATTGGAGACCACGTGCAGACATTATGAGAGCAAATAAACAGGCTTGTAGAAAAAGAAGACAACAGTTAAATAAATGTTCAGATGCAGATGAGCTCTACTAACCTTTAGGGAGAAGGGCTGAGTGAAATCCACACGCACACAGCCATAGTTCTTGCGGAGCATCCTAAACACACCACAGGCAATACCCCACAGACTCTCATTCTTCTTAGGTTTGCCCTGAAATGGGAAAAAAAACAAGACATTTGTCAAAGATTTCACAACAATAACAACAAGATCATCATCATCATCATCTTCATTATTTGGCATTTAACAAAAAAGTGCTTCGAGTCATTAGGACTAGTAAGCACAATTTTGTTTGTCTGAAGGTTTTTTTAGTACTATATGATATGTAGAGTAGCATGAATGTCAATTTCCAAATTAGATAAAAAGATTGGCCAAATATAGACAAATAACAAGACAACAGAATGACAAACTACAGCAGATAGAGCTAAAGAATGATGGCAGTAACAATAGATAGACAGCTTGATATACTGTAAGTGGGAATGTGCAATGCGTTTGCCTCAAAAGTGTGACATTCGCAGTATTTAGCTGTTCATATGTGTTTGTTTCCATGATCTACAGAGATTGTTGTATAGCTTTTCCTGTAATGCTTTCAGGGCTACCGCTACAGCTAAGCTGTTTGTGTGCAGCAAGCCTTTTTGTCGAGAGCTATATCTGAATTTGAAAACGACGTACTTTGTCTTTTATGTGTCTTTGACACATCACCTATATCTGTGCTGCTGTGTTAGCCTATGTTTAAAACCTCCAGATTACCAGCAGGGTTAATGGCTGAAATAGACATGGCAAGAGACCTTCTGCACTGCTATACACCGTGTCTGCATTCTGACCCGAGGATTCAAGAGGAGAAAAGTACTCCTCATTTAGAGTTTATATAAACATGATAACCTTTAAAACAAGGTACCTATGGTCATGGAAAACCTGGAAAAGTCATGAAATTTTGACAGCACTTTTCAGGCCTGGAAAAAATTTGGAAAAACCCACAGAGTTTTGGAAAAGTCATAGAAAACAGATATCTGTATACTTGTCTATAGGTTATTAACTTCTTTTCTGTCCTTGGCCAATTACATACTCTCACATTATTAGTGCGGTGTAAGCATTATCTAAATTATATATATATATATATATATATATATATATATATATATATATATATATATATATATATATATATATATATGTAAAACGCAGTGGCGCAGCCTTGATTGGGTCAGTTGGCATTTCTGTGTGGAGTTTGCATGTTCTTCCTGTGTTCACGTGGGTTTCCTCCGGGTGCTCTGGTTTCCCCCACAGTCCAAAGGCATACGGTACAAGTGAATTGGGTAGGCTAAATTGTCCTTAGTGTATGAGTGTGAATGAGTGTGTGTGGATGTTTCCCAGAGATGGGTTGCGGCTAGAAGGACATCCGCTGTGTAAAAACCTGTTGGATAATTAGGCTGTTCAATTCGCTGTGGCGAGTAAAGGGTAAAGGGACTAAGCTGAAAAGAAAAAGAATGAATGAATAAATATAAATTGAAACTAAATAGATTATTGCACGTTTTACGATATGCTGTAATAAATTTGAACATGCATTGTTTTTCTTTTATCACGCATATATAAACATTGCATATAACATTAGGTCATGAAAATTTACTTGAAGTCTTGAAAAAAATCATGAAAAAAAGTCATGAAATTATAGTAGTAAAAATGTGTATGAACCCTGTTATAATGATATAACAAATTGTGGTTGTGTGTAGCCAATATATATATTATATGAAATTACGAATAACCTATCGTATATGTAGCATGGCATTACATCCCTTTTTGTTTATTTCTTTGCACTTTAACTATAATATCATGAGTCTCCTCACATTATATGTCAGATTTTTTTTGGTCGATTTTGTGCACCAACTGACAGTTGTTCACTTCGCTACCCTCTTTTCCTCTGCTGTGCCAGATACGCCCTGCTCCTCCCTTTCCTCACATTGCTCCACCACCATCTCTGAGCATTTTTTAATTCTGAGGTAGGCTTGAACTGAAAAAGGTGGTTTCATGACTCTTTAAGCGGAAAATTAGCTTGTTGCAAAAACATTCTGTGAGTAAACTAGAGAGAGTGACGTGATGTGAATCTTCTCTTTGCAGAACCCAGCATACCAGACAGACATCTACAGAACAATAGACAGAACTATATAAAGCTAAACAGAATAATAAATGGACCAAAAGAACCATATATAGAATGACAGATAGATTAATAAAATGATTGATGAACAAATATGTAGAAGCTTTGGTGAAATTATGGAATACTACAATTAAATGCTAAATAAAAAGGACTGAAGGTTTAGACATACAGAATGATAGATAGCACAAATGTGTTAAAGAATGATCTATAGAATAATAGAACCAAAAATGAATAGATGGAATGATAAACAGAACAGCAAATAAAATGATAGACAGAACGACATTCATTACAGATTAAATAAAGAATAAATTACTGATTTCATTCAGAAAGACATGGTGAGGTTGTAAAATGATCTGCATTTTGTGAAAACACCTCGAGTACCAGCATAATAGGACCTAACGTTCACTCAAAGTAGAACTCCTACCAGCTGCTCACTGTTGTAGTTCCCCTCAATAATCCGGTCATAAGAGATGCCAACGGGCACGATCAGAACATCAGGGATGGTGCTGGCACAGAGTGTGTCGACCACGATGGAGAGCATGCCCGCACGTGCTGGAGATGGTTTCCCGCTGCGAGACCGCGTGCCCTCTAAATACACCTCCAGAAACTGCTGCTGCCGCAACAATTCTTCCGTGTACTGAAATTAAGAGTGAAACAGAAGGATGATCTACACAACAGTAAATGGCACACTGCACACAACATCTCCAATAATCCCTTAGACTCATGACCCTTCCTTTACGATTTCCCTGTAATTAAAGCAGCCTATTGTGGTGATTTGGTGCACGACAGGAGACAGCATGAATAATGCAGAAGTAATCCATCGGCATCCTCTGACAGCCAACTCTAATGAAGAGCCTCTCGACAGTCGCTGCAATGACAATCAGTACGTCATTTTATCTAAAGCACAACAGCAGACTATATTACAGCTGCTCCGGTTTCTCCATCACTCACAAGATCATATCCTACAGGTCTTTACAAGCAAGATTAGCACAGACAATACAATCATTAAATTTTCCTTCGGTTTGGTCCCTTATTTGTGAGGGGTTGCCACAGCAGAATGAACCACCTATTCACCTATTCAACTATTCTGGCATATGTTTTACACATCGGAGTTTCTTCCAGTCGCAACCCAGTAGTGGGAAACACCCATCCACTCTTACATTCACACACACTCATACACTATGGCCATATTTGTTTATTCAATTCACTTACACCACATGTCTTTGGACTCTGGTGGAAACCGGAGCACACAGATGAAACCGAACACAGGGTAGAACATGCAAATTCCACACAGAAATGCTAAATGAAAATGTCAAACCAGTGACCTACCTGATGTGAGGCGACAGTGCTAACCACTAAGCCACCATGCCACACTCCAGACAATACAAATGGTGTTGTTGTTTTTTTATTGCAAATACATTTTTTTTAAAAGAGAGCAGGTTTTTGTTATGTTATGGTTATGTTTGGTAAATAAGCAGAAGATGGTGTATGAAATGTGCATTATATCAAAAGTGTTGATGGTTTCTGTCACAACCTTTCGCTTTACAATTTGGGCCTTTGAAGTGGTTGTTCACAGAAAAATTAAAGACTGCTGTAATTCCCCTTTAGGTAAACCAAGATGCAGGCTCCTAATGATAACCTCACCTAAAGTCATCTACTTCTAGGATATGCAAATTAAAAGCAATAGTTTTGATGACCTTAAAAAGCCCTTTGTGGAAAGTAAAAGATATCTGGGTCAAGGAAAGCACCATAAAAATTAGGTAGTGAAGGTAAAAACCTTGAGAGAGACCAAACTGCTCACAGCACAGCTTTCTTGAGTCAGCATGTTGAAATGACTTCTGAGAGCTCTACATATGCACCTATGTCATTATGACCTTGAAAGCGTAGTGATTTATCAGCACAATTTTATTTTCGGGTTTAGAGATCCGTTTGTGACACACACAGAACAAACAGCTTCTCATCGGTGTAAACTTACTGCATGTAACAGAGATCTGTATAACACATCTTTCTTTCCGTCTGAGGTCTCGTCCATTTTACGACGAATGAAGAATCCTCCGAGTTTGCGTATTAGCGTGCTGTGGAAGTGAATAACCACATTCATAAATCAGTTTGACTGGTATTGCTGAAGTATAATTATGTAAACAGCAATGAGATCATCATGACATCATACCTTAAGATGGGGATGTTAAGGTTGTTGCCAGCAGCGATGTGTGGAGCTTTAATGTTGTGGCAGAAAAGAATGAAGGTGATGAGCAGGTAATCTATGTGGGACTTGTGAACAGGAAGGAAGACGAGGGGAGCATTGTACTAGAAGAGACAGAGTAAAACAGTTGTTATACTTCACCATAACCATATAATGATGATTATGAACTTTTTATTTAATGCCAAGTCAGCAACAAGGGCTATTTTCATGCCAAAAACATTTAAATAATAAATATATAATTAAAAACAAAAAACTGATGAATACATAAATTAGATAAGATTTTTAACATTAATACATGATAACTTTTCCTGGTGATACTTTGCTAAATATCTTCTTAGGTGAGTTCATTTCATAAAAAGCCTTCTGCAGTCATTAAAAGCAGAACAGTCGAGTAAAATGTATTTTACAGTAAGTGGAACTGTGCAGAACAAACATTGAGTGGAGTCCTCAGATAACCAAATAAACCCTCCTGTAATTACCCTAACACATACTGTATAAAGTGGGAGAATAGACCTATTGCTTTGTGATTGTGCCAACTGAATTGGACCCACTGATTATCTGTGGCCGTTTTGGGAGTTGCTACAGTATATGCTTTAATGCAGATAAGAAGAAATGCTAGTTTTTTGGGGGTGGGAATAGGTTGTGTAAATGTCTGACCTCGGATGCTGCTTTCTTCACCATCTCCAGCTGACCTTTATGGATCTGAATGCTCCAGAAAAATCCATTGAACAGTTTTAACAGCACCCATCCTGTTAATCTGAATAAGGCATAAAAATCAAATGACAATATCACTTATTTAGCATTTTCATTTCAAGTGTTTTAATTAAAATCATTTCAAGACAAACGAAAATTATCAAAAGCAGTAAAGATCTCATTACAAAAGATTCTAATTCAAATAAATGCTGTAAATTTGAAATTTATATTTATTGATGAATGAATATAAATGAATATATTTGTGAAATATTTTTACAATTGCCAACAACCCATATACAGTTGAAGTCAGAATTATTAACCCCCTGAATTATTAGCCCCGTTTATTTTTCCCCCAATTTCAGTTTATTGGAGAGAAGATTCTTTCAACACATTTCTAAACATAATAGTTTTAATAACTCATTTCTAATAACTGATTATTTTATCTTTGCCATGATGGCAGAACATAATATTTTAAAAGACACTTCTATACAGCTTAGATAATCATTTAATAATTCTGATTTCGATTGTATATACACATAACAGCCTATGCAGGTTCATTCATGAGCATGTGCGTCCTCTCAGTGGTAAACAAACTGCTTACAGTCAGCTCGCATGCGATTAAACACCTGTTAATTTGTCATTATTCACTCAACATTTACATTTTGCCGCCCTACTTTTACTATTTCACAACATTTACATGATCCTTCAGAAAATTATTTAAATATATTTAAACTTGATTATTAAAAATGTAGAAAACAGTTGTGCGGCTTCTTATTTCTATGAATAATATTAAGTGAAACGTATCAAAGCTCCCATAAAGATATGAAGAGTACTTTTATAACACTAGAATAATAACAACCATTAATAAAGAGAGCAGCAACTCATCATATTAGACTGGAACTGTATATAAAGGACTATATGTCACTAAAGATTGGAGTGTAGAAACTATATATAAATTATAAAACCTTCATATAGAAAATGTGATGTGTATTTATATATCACATTTAACGGTTGTGATCATACACCCAAAGCACTTCACATTCATGAGGGGGGTTCTCTCCACTTGGATGATACGACGGCAGTCACAGGACAACGCCGCCAGTGCACTCACCACACACCAGCTATTGGTGGAGTGAAGAGACAGTGACAGAGCCAATTCAGTGTATAGGGATGATTGGGAGGGCATGATGGTAAGGGCCGATGGAAGGTATTTGGCCAGGACACCGGGGTTACACCCCTACTATTTACGAGAAGTGCCATGGGATTTTTAATGACCACAGAGAGAGTCATGTTCAACCTCTGTTTAATGTTTCATCCGAAAGAGGGTGTCCCCTGACAGTACAGTGTTCTCTTCACTATACTCGGGCATTAGGACTCACACCGACTACAGGTTGAGCTGGCCTCACTAACACTTCTTCTAACAGCAACCTAGTTTTCCCTGACTAGGCTCAGCCCTGCTTAGCTTCAGTGAGTAACCGGTCTTGGGCTGCAGGGTGATATGGCTGTGACAGGTATTTTTAATTTAATATTTCACAATATAACTTTTTTTATTTATATATATTTTTTTCAATATTCAGCCATGATGAGCAAAAGAAACGCCTTTCCAAACATGCCAAATCCTGATGTTTTCATCACTCTTAATTTCCCTCACTGTATAAAAACTGTACCTGATTAAGGCCGGTGAGATGTTGGCAACCATCTCCTGCAGCCATCCTCTGGCCTTTCGTCGAACTTTACTGACAGCTTTGGGATCAACTCCAGGCTCTGCATCTTCCTGTACACCCTCATTCGCAACCTCCACAATAGCACATTCCAGCCTACAGCAACAACACTCACAGTCAATCTGGATGCAATCCTGCTGCTTAGAAACAGACAGACATTCTAATTGCACTTGTTCCACACTTTCTTAAAAAAGCTAGTTACCTGCTGTTGTTAAGCACGTTCTCCACCACATTGCGTGCAAACATGTCCTTCTGGACATCTCTCTCCAAGACAAACAGCACATAACTCAGCCTGCGTGCAAGCCAACCCCTGTGTCTGCATTATAAAAAAAAAAAAACGAGTATATCATTTAAATGTTTATTTAAAAAAAAAAAATAAATAAAATTTCAATTAAAAAAAAAAAAAAATTACAAATCTGTCACTCTGATGTTGTTGTTTTTTTGTCATAAAAAATAAATTTAAAAATAAAATTAAAGATGAAAACTTGTAGAGCTGAATTTTAGAAAATATTCTAAATGCAATTTTTTAACCAATATTATGATTGTGATTTAATATATTTCAGAAAAGTTTGTTTAGATTTTTATTTATTGTTTAACAAAAGGCAAGCTGTACATCAGTATAAAATATGAACAAATAACCGTGTTGTGGACTTAACCATCTTCCTAAAACAAATACTTAACACTAGGCCACACAAAGTAAAAACCATCATACTCTTAATCTATTATGGTTTAAACCATCATACCATTTATCTATTACAGTTTTAGTTTAAGTGTTATCTTGCAAACATCTAGTCACATTTAGTGATAGTTTCAAACAAACATCTTGACACTTTGTGCAAAGCTGTTATATATTAATGCCAACTACGTTTAACAAATGGCAACACTTCACTTCTTAAATCAGCAACAATGTGTGCAATAAAAAACAGAACAATACTGTGAGCTGAGTAGAGATAGAGAGTACAAGTAAAAAGTAAACAAGTGTGCATTCAAAGGCAATTTATTTACCCTACATATTTATAGCGGCTCCATGATGTGTGCATTGTATATTATAAATAAATAGGGCAGGCCAAATATGCTTATTCAGCAGACTGCTTCACACTAGAATGTCACGCGACTACAATGCAATGTAAAGAATTTGCAATTTGAAATTTTGATTTTATAATATTGCAATATTATTACAAATACAATACACTGTACAGTCATGTGAGTTGAAGGCAAGAAGTGGATCCAGGGTTTCTGCAGGTTTCACCAAGTTAAATTTAAGACATTTTAAGACATTTTTAAGATCGTTATGAATGAAATTTTAGACTCATACAGGGCTAAATGCTAGGGAGTTTTTCGAATGGTCCAGATGGAACATACTTTTATTAGCCTTTTCAAAAAAAAAACTTACTATAATTTAATACATTTAATAAAATAAAAATAATTTAATAATAATAATAAAAATATTTTAGAAATTTCAACAACAAAAAAAATTGACAAATGTTTTAAAACTATAATAAATTAAATGTATGCACAACAGTCTGTCCGGGTCAGTTATTGTACAACAAGTGTTATTGTAAGAAAAATAATTACATTTCTAAGTTTTTTTTTAAGATGGATTGTTGGTGACTCGCAAGTGTTGACTAAGTTGAGTGGCATGAACAAGGAAAATTAAGACCCGTTTAAAAAGACCTACAACACAATATTTCAGTAAATTAAAGACTTTAAAGCCTAAAATGCTGTCAGACATTTTAGAGGTTTTTAAGACTCAGCAAATACTATGGGACCAATATCATTTCGTCACCTTACAATTATAAGTTTCTATCTGACATTTTTGTCAAAATTGAGTAATTTACATATTATTATTAAAAAGTCATGACAATCCTTAAATTCTTATTTACATTATGGGATGTTTTTTTTTTTTTTTAGAAGTAGTTTAAATTAAGGGTTTTTATTCAAAAAAACAAAAAAGGTTTATCTACAAAGTTAAACTCTAGCTTGGCTCTATAATCTTCTTTCTGTGTGCCAATTAGCATTTTTAATGCACACACGAGGACCAATCAAGAACTTTTTAAGTCATTTAGTCATAGGCTGCACCACACAAAATTGAGATGTGTGTAAACAGTATTGGGCAAGCTACTTGACAAATGTAGTGAGCTAAGCTATTAGCTACTCTACTTAAAATGTAGCTTAACTACACTAAAGCTACCCCCTGGGAAATGTAGCAAACTAAGCTAAAAGCTACATGGCAAAAGTAACTTAGCTACATCTAAGCTAATTTTACAATTTAATTTTTTAAATCGAAGCAACTTAAATCAAAGTCAGTCATATCTTAGTGATCAATAAAGCTAAAACAAAAAATGAAAAAAAAAACAGGTGTTACACATTTAAAACACTATGGTCATTTATAGTAAAGGGAAATATTTTTGATAATAAATAAATAAATTATATATATATATATATATATATATATATATATATATATATATATATATATATATATATATATATATATATATATATATATATATATATATATATATATATATATAATTTATTTATTATCAAAAATATTTCCCTTTAGTCTAACAAATAAACAGTTGTTTGGTGTAGGTAATAAAAAGTTAATTACATTTGTCCTAAGATATAACGGTAATGTTATAGTTGTTACATAACTGTATTTATTATTATTCTGTATGTTTAAAACCAGCAGATTTACTATATATTTTACATGTCATGAACTTACTGTTATTCAAAAACTTGCTTAATAAAATGTCCCAAGACAAGAATGGGTATTATTTTGGTTTTATATCAACCTACTGTAGGTTTTGGGTTGAATACAGCAGATATAGGCTACCTAACTTGTTATATCATAATATTGGTAGTCGGAGTTTTTTAATGACCCTAATCAAGTAAAACATCTCTTACTCAAGTACTTTTAGCATGTAAAGTCTAGTGAAAATTTTCAGTGTTTATTAAACTAATTTGCTGATTCTCTGTTTTCTTTTAAAGTCTTTAAATTTAAAATTAAGCCTTGAAGGGCAAATACTTTAATCAATTCACAGGGCATTTAATTCAATAAACATAATTAAATAATTCATAAAAAGCTTCAAATTTAATACATTTTACCATATTAATTAGATAAAATTACCATCCGCACTGGACAAAATATTTAGCAGCCTTGTATGCTTAATTTGAACAAGAAAAATATTCATCCTAAAACAAAATGTTTTCATTCAAGCATCAACATATTGTTACAACACAAAACTGTATATTTTTTTGATTGTATTTCTTGAAAAGTAATGCTTCAATGAATAATTTGCCAAATAGAACCTTATAATCCCAAGTGGAAAATAACTTTTCAGAATTAAAAGGTTCTGTCTGCATTTACTATGGTTTTTTACTCCAATTTGAAATTGTAGGACTACCTTGATAATTTACATTTAGAGCACATTTAGGGTCTCTGTCATGTTGATATATGAACGAGATTTGTTACACATTGTTTGCTATATGAAAAACAAAAACTTTGAAGCTCAATATCTTGCAGATAGAACCTTATACAGTAATTCCAAGGTGACGATTTGTGAATGAATAATTCTTTGCAGCTAGTTGTTTTCACTGTACCATGTGTTCTGATTTAAAAAAAATAAAAAATCTGACTGGATTATTCTGTTGTGAATCAGAATAAAAGATTATTTTTAATGAGTTCTTTGTTTTTGTCATTTGATAAAATCTAAATAAAAAGCTGCTAGATGCTGACAAAAAAGGTCTACACACTTTATTACCGCACCCTTCACTGCCCAGACTCTCAGAACCAGCTCAGACCACCTTTAGTCCTCGTCATGTGATCCAGGTACATAATACCCCCTGACACGCCATTAATAATTTATTTCCTGACTTTCCACTCCTCACAGAAACCTACCATTTGATGCTTGAATGTAAACACAGGGCGGGTCATTTGGTGGGAAACCACATCTGACCAACTACGGCATTAATAATGTATCACAAACTAAACTAGGTTAATGAATTTTACCATGGTAACTAAGCAAAGTTAAGTGAGTATTCACATGATAAATAATGATGGAAGTGGTCATGTGTCCATCAGGCCCAAAGTTGACATTTACCTTGTGTGGGTTTCATTGATGTAAATCACATTACGAAGCCCTAGTGAAGGGATGCTGGGATTGAACAACCTATCCTGCAACACATAATAGTAGCAGTTCAATTGCAGTCGATTCTTTAGAAATGTGTGTGCACTCAGTCAATATCCCCTAAGCAGCAAGAAACTAACCTGACTCTGGGGTGTGCATGAGTGACAACATCTTCCAACAAATGGCCTCTTCCTGTTCAGCAGACCCTCCTTCCACGTGGTGGTCACACAGCGGAGTACAGATGGGCTGGAGCTTCTGTCCTACATGAGAAAAGCAATGTTTATCACACGGTAACACTTTAGAAGATAAAATTTCCTTATATTAGATTAGAAAATGTATTAAACATTGAGCTAGCAATGATTGTCTTTACGTTAACGTTAAGCTGAAATATTATTTGAAAAATCATTATGATTTGAGTTCATTATACATTACCTACTGCTAATTTCAAATTAGATGTCAAAAATTTTGTTAAAACAGGTAGATGCATCACATATACTAATAATAAATTCTGTGTGCACCAAATAAAAAAAATTATACCCAGTAATATACAAGTTGAAAGAAAGTTGTTAATCAGGGCTTGCATGTAAAAATAAATAAATAAATAAACAAATAAACTAATGAAATATAATTTTTTTAAGGTTTTATTATTAGCGTTGCACAAAATCATCATCAAAATCATAAAATAATATTAAATCGAATCAAATGACAACTTTTAAAATCTGAATCTTAATCTATAACAGCCCTATCTCATAGTTAGAGCCAGACGGAATCTGTGGATGTTTTTTGCCATTTCTGCAGAGAATTTTGGTAAAAATCTGTGGATTTCTGTGGAATTATTTTGGGAGTATCATAACTAAAACCTTGATATGTAAAATAAAAAATATATAGTTTTAACTTTTTTTAATGTTTACAAAGCAAACCCAATTAGGTTCACATTATTTGGTAAACTGAGCAAGTCTCTCATATAATATATCTACTAAAAGACAAAAAAATATTACGGCACAAACTGCTTTGAACATAAATCAGATTTTCATATTAGTCAATAATATTACTGCAATTATTAAAAAAAACTGAATAAATAAAGATTCACACATTTACTCAAGTAAATAAACAGAATTAATGATGGGCTAAAAATCTGCGGAAAATCTGTGGGAAATCTGCAAAATTCAATCAACTCAAATTTCAAATCCATTCTTCACAACAAGTTTTTTGGGATGTTTTATTGTTGTATTATTTTCAAAAATTAGCTATAATAAAAAAAAATTCTACTCTCAACAGACCACACTATTTGAGACATCCTCCATGTCTGCACTGTAAATAGTTACACACTGAGGTTTAATAATGAAAGGGATAGTTCACCAAAAACTTAAAATTCTGTCATCATACTCCCATCTCAAGCCTATTTGAGTGTCTTTCTATTGTTGAACACAAAAATCTGGTAATATATAAGAGCAACTATAAGAGTCTATGTTAACTGGTTTCTAAGATTCATACATTCAACATAGTGTTCATAAAGTTTAGGGTGAGCTTTAAGTTAGGGATGCTCATAATAACTGATTCACTGTTAACCGAAAGAGTGCGTTTTTAACGGATTAATAGTATTAGTTAAACAATAAAAAGAAATAGTATTTAAGAGAAAGAAGCTGCAAAACAAAACTTTCTGAAATGTGCTCTGCTTTGGAAACAAGCCGGCCACTAGTCAGATCATCTGAATTTTTTCTCCATCAGAGTGCACTCCGGCCCCGCTCATAAACACAACAAATAGGCTATAGTTGTGATGATTTATTTTACAACCAATAAACCAACCTTTTTCCATTTGGAAAATTACATTTAATAACAGTTCTTATAAAATATCAATTTTTAAAATTGCCTATATAATCTAGTAGCCTATACTTTACAAAAAGTCAACATATCCGCCTTGTCATTGTCTTTTATCACACGCAGTGCACTCATATAAACTCCAAGTGAGAGAAAAACAACAGCACACAAGATCTAAGGTAAAACCAGACGCTCAAGACATAGAACTCTATTTTGACAATCCATGCGCAAAGTTCAAATAATTAAATGAAAGCAGTGATTTTTATATTTATGTAGAAGATAATCATTTTTGTATTATTTTAATCATTTAATTATTTTTCATTTGTAAAGATATTTGTGTATTGCTGTATATCCTGTGTATTACGCAATCTGTAAGTGAGGCACGCAAATAATGCGCTCTGTGCTGGACTATAGACCTGCTTTGATCTGGTCAATTGAATAGTCTATTTTAGTACCTCAAAATAGCAACACGCCTGCAATGCACCTCAACACGCCACCTTTTTTAGACCAGAAGGCCTATGGGCGCACATATGAGCGCAAATGCATTTGCTATTTAAACAGCGTGGTGCAACACGTCAAAACGACTCTTGTGTCAAGCTGAAATTAGCAAACAACAATTGCGTCGCACCTTGCGCTGCATTGCGTCGGGTGCATGATAGAGCCCATAATCTTTAAACTAATCACGTCTATTAAAAAAATGTTCACAGAAGTTTGTGACATATGAATAACAGCAGATCATTAATTAAATGCATATTTTCTGTGGAACGATCGATTTGAGGTAGCCTGTATGGCGGCAAATCAATGCCAATATTTATCAAGCGCAGCGGTGATGTTTGCGCGTGAGGAGAAGTGAACCGTGAGCAGATTACAGGTCTACACGCGAGAAAACTACAGCTCGCGAGCGCATAGGGGATCTTCACGCTCAACTGATCCAGCGCGAGAAAACAAGTCCCGCGCGCGCACATCATCATCTGTGCGCACGATGGACGCTCTCGCGAGCGAGGTCATGCCTACAGCGCGCGCGCGCAATCAGTTCTCTCCGCTCGCTCGCTGGTTCTTCTCTCTCCTCGCGCGAAACAGATTTGATTTTTATCAGTCCTGGGGCGGGACTTGGTGTACTTGTTATCTCTAACGCTATTGGCTACTCTGCCTTTCCGGAAGTTAGCCGGGATTGGACGCAGGTAAGCTAGTTTCCCCGTTAAATAAAAATATATAGGATATCTTATCATAATGTCACAATGTGAAACTAATAGACTCACTTTCTCAGTAATAATAGGTGGAGACTTACTTTCAATAATGAGATATTTCTTGTAATAATTAATCTCATAATAATGCCTATTCTTACCATCATGACCAAGTCATATAATGACATATCAAAATAATGAGATATATTTCTGTAACAAACTTTATTACTTGGGAGAGAAAGAGAGAGTTATACCATGTGGCAAAAGATCTCTCCATTAAACAGAAATAGGGAAAAAAATATACATGGGCTAATAATTCAGGACGAATAATTCAGACTTTAAATGTGTGTTTTGAACCATTTGAGGAAGTTTAGCACCTACATTTAAACTAAACTCAAGCCAAATTTATGAACATGAACTCACGTGTTCAAATTTATAAAAAATCTTTTTTTTTTCTTAGACTCATTGTCCTTGAGTCATTTTCTTATGAAGAACAAGTCAGAATAAATTGGATGGACAATAGTATACAAAATAGGCTACACATGCATGAAGTGCATAAAGTACAAAGGTTTATAGTAAATAGATTGCCATTAGTCATTCCACTAAACAGTTAAAGTCAGAATTATTAGCCCGCCTGAATTATTAGCCCCCTGTTTATTTTTATCCTAATTTTTATTTAATTGAGAGCAGATTTTTTTTCAAACATTTCTATACATAATAGTTTTAATAACTCATTTCTAATAACTGATTTATATTATCTTTGCCATTATGATAGTACATAATATTTGACTAGATATTCTTCAAGACACTTCTATACAGCTTACAGTGACATTTAAAGGCTTAACTAGATTAATTAGGCAGGTTAGGGTGATTAGGCAAGTTATTGTATAACGATAATTTGTTCTGTAAACTTTCGAAAAAAATAAATAGGTTAAAGAGGCTAATAATATGGACCTTAAAGTGTGTTTTTTAAAAAATTGAAAACTACTTTTATTCTAGCCAAAATATAACAAGAAATAAGTGAGATAATAATTCTGACTTCAACTGCATATGTGACCTTTAAGATGTGGGCATGTTGTATAAAAAAGTGGTATTTGTATGCCTCTGAATTGGAATAATGTAATGGATAGTGAGTAAAGCCAAACAAAGACTGTAGAAATTAAATTGTTGCTCAATAGGTGGCGATAAACACCCATCTATATATATATATATATTTTATTTTTATTTATTTTTTTTCCCACTGATCTATATTACAAAAAAATTTAATAATTATAATAATATACAAAGCTGCACTGCACATCTGCATTGTCTGGAAAGATCTAAAAACCAAATAAACTCTTCTGAAGACAATATTTCCTAGAAAGATCAACCCCAAGTGTCATAATGAGCTCTGCTGTTGTGGTTAATAATGAAGTAAAATACAACAAACCAGAAGTGCTGTACGGGACAAATCAAATGGGTTCAGAAAGTCATGTTACAAGAATGCAAGTCATTATTTTAGAAGATTAATTATCATTATTTGACTGTTTCTCGAGATTGAATTCTCATAAAGTTCATAAAGTTCTCAGAAAGTTTCTTATGGTTATGACTTGCAAATTGTATATATATTTAATGGCGTGATCTTTTACCTGAGTCCAATCCCGGCTAACTTCCGGAAAGGCAGAGTAGCCAATAGCGTTAGAGATAACAAGTATACCAAGTCCCGCCCCAGGACTGACAAAAATCAAATCTGTTTCGCGCGAGCAGAGAGAAGAACCAGCTAGCGAGTGGAGAGAACTGATTGCGCGCGCGCGCTGTAGGCATGACCTCGCTCGCGAGAGTGTCCATCGTGCGCACAGATGATGATGTGCGCGCGCGGGACTTGTTTTCTCGCGCTGGATCAGTTGAGCGCGCGCGTGAAGATCCCCTATGCGCTCGCAAGCTGTAGTTTTCTAGCGTGTAGACCTGTAATCTGCTCACGGTTCACTTCTCCTCGCGCGCAAACATCACCGCTGCGCTCGATTAATATTGGCATTGATTTGCCGTCATAAGCCTGTTATCTTTATTTGAGGGGGAAAAAACATACGAGTGGAAAAAATAGCCTATGTTGGATCTTAAATAGGATTTTCTTTGTTTTTTCGTTTAGTAATCTAAATTTGTAATTTAAGTGAAACATATCTAGGGCAGGGCTTTTTATTTTATTCTTTTTACCTAGTTTGTTCTTTTTTCTTTTTTCTGTTGGAAACACTACAGGTGTGTGAGAATGTTCTGTTATCAGTATAATAAATAAATCAGAATTTTTAAAAATGCTATATTTAATGTGTCAGACACAAATAAACATCAATTATTATTTTTTAATTAAATAATAATCATTCAATATTAATCTGAGCAGTTAACAATTAATATTTGTAAATGAGCGGCAGTTGTGAGTTGGCAAAATTAATCGAAATGAGCATCCCTTGAAAAAAAGCAATTTGATTCCTAAATTTTAGCATGTTTAACCACTGTAACTACGGAGGTGCTACTTTTCTCCAAGCTTACCTGGTCCTCACAGGGATGCTTGAGACAGGCACTTCCCGTGTCAGGATTATTGGCCAAAAGAATGTTATCTGGACCCCCTAGAACCATGTGGACGTCCATCCCCTCTCTTCAAACCAAACATCAACAACAAAACTGCAGGAGGAAAAGAAAAACAGAAAATGAGAGGGGGTCTGTTGCTGCCCTCTGTACTGTAGGTCAAAATATTCCACAGAAAGCCAGAACGCAAAAGCATTGTGCCATTATTCACAGCACCTCCAGCTTAACTATAGCTGAATGACAGGAATGTCGCATGATGCGTTCCACCCAATCACAGCAAACAAATAAAGTTTGCCAAACCTGTTGAGGTGGTTTCAGTCCAGCTGATCATTTTGACAAAGATTACAGAAAGAAAAAGACAACTTGACTGCAGATCAATGCAGCTCAGTCTGTATTCTTTATTGCCTGGGGGCAAAGAAAACTGACAAGCAGGGCCTGTCAAGATATCTACTTTTTTGTTGTATGATATATTACACCACAATAGATAGTGATATACCATATTACTGTCATTTTAAGACCATTTTATGCCACTCATTAACTCTTAAAATCTTTATTTATATAGCGCTTTTACAATGTAGATTGTGTCAAAGCAGCTTAACATAGAAGTTCTGGTAAATTGAAACTGTGTCAGTCCAGTTTTCAGAGTTGAAGTTCAGTTCATTGTACAATGCATGAATGATAATATCATCACAATGCAAATACACTCTTCCAAAAAACACATAATAATTTATTCTTAAGAATATTTATATTAATTATGTAATGTATCTTTTATTTAATGCCATGTCAGCAGCCAAGGCTATTTTCATGGCAAGAATGTTTCAATAATAAATATAAAATTAACAACAAACAAATGAATACATTTATTAAAAAAAGTTTGTTTAGTGTTAATACAGGATAAGAATTCTAAAAAAATACTTTGGTGTCACTTTGTTAAAAATGTTCATTTGATTAAAAAGCCTTCTGGAATCATTAAAAGCAGGACAGTCCAGTAAATGTGTTTTACTGTAAGGGGAGTTGTGCAGTACAAACATTAGGTGGGGTCTTCATCTTTAAGAAAAAAGACATAGGTTAATATTGTATGTCAATATGACATGTGGTAAAAATTACTTGATTAAATCTAGTCTTAAAATATCTCAAAACTCTATTTGATATTTCAGTTTGTATTTCATACAATTTAATATTTTCCAATGCATTCCACTCCTCTTGCCACTTATTTAAAATGTAAACATTAATTAAAGGTTTCATTTTATTGTAGTCATTTTAACAATGTAATAATCAGGCATTGGAATCAGAACGTGAAAAGCCATATCCTTAATAAATAATAATAAATGTTAACAAAAAAGTGCAAAGTAAAAAAGTAACTGAGGCTGCAATATCTGCAAGCAGATCTATTTTTCAAAGTCATTTATAGTAAAAACTATAGTGTTTTTTTTAACCACTGACACCTCCAATAAAGATAAAGATGTTTAAAAATCAGCTCAAATTTGGATAGAATGGATTTTTATGTATCGGCAACTCTGACTACTGACAAGTAGGCATGAGACAATAACCATTTTCAAGGTATACCGCGATTTGGAAAAGTCTTAGAAAACATTTTCTGCTATACTGTTCCTATGATATTTGTAAGATTTTTTATTTATGTTTTTTTTTTAGGACAACAGTATCTCTAGCAGAAAAGATATCTAAATATGCCATTTTAAATTGTAAAGAAATCTGTGTTTTTAAAACTAAAGAAGAACGCAGAAGTAATAATAAGAAATAAAGAAATAAATCATTTTAATTACTAAGCCTGACATGTTTACTGCTCCAAAATACTTAAAATGTTTCTCAAAATAAAATAAAGTGTTGAAAGGAGAAAAAAGTTTTTTTACCCAGATATTTAAAAAGGATCTATTTTAGAGCAGTAATCACAATACTGTGAAAACGTGATGCTATTATCTAAGGTTATCATACCATCAGAAATCATAACAGCCTATGCCTACTAACAAGCAACCTAAAATACACAAATCACCCTCAGATGTACATTCGCCAAACTGAGCACGTGCAATGTAAGAGGACACACGTCCCTTTTTGCACCTCTACCATAATGTCCTGGGTGACCTAAGCTACATAATCTCTGTTTTATCTGCTGATTTGCTGACCCATGGATGAGAGTATCCACTCTCAGGTGTCATGTTAAAGGGCTATAGCCTCCTGCCTGTGAAAAACCCACTGCAATAAAAAGGGGGGCCTGATGAAGCATACAATATACAACAGCTGTTCAGGTCAGAGGTAAACTTATCATTGCTTGTGCTTGTGGAAAGCGATATATTTATGGACGACATGCAGTGGAAAAAAAATGCCTGAGCCAACTTGTGGGTGCAGAATGTACCCTTTAAAATAAAACCACATGACAGATTTGCACATGCTCAGTGCACTGCATCGTTCTCACCAACAAGCCACACATTTATCTTTTAAAGTCATTGTGGCATTACTAGCATATTTACGGAAGGTGAGGAGGAGGAAGTGGCATCGCTGTCAAAAAAACAAGATGTGAGCTTCAAAGTGTGATTTCAGTTCCTCTGCTGTCAAGCACATTCTCAGCTGTCTCAATTTTGTCTCTACATTTATGTTCATCTTAATTCCTCTGTGACTGCACTTCTTCAAAACACCATATCAGCAGCTCACAAGGGCGTTACAGATGCCGCAGTGGGAGCGTTTAGTGCACCGGCTGAATACTCTGAGGTTGTGATATGTTATTCTTGGTTCTTTTGTGCGTCATTGGTAAAGAATGGGATTAAGGATTTGTTTTGATTATTTTTATACTGTAATGTAGCAAAACACTGCAGACAGGCCTCTATAATGCCAGGCACGCTCCAAGTCATCATTGTAGACATGTAAATCATTTTCACAGAACATAAAAATTTGTTATTCATTCATTTTCCATCAGGTCATCCAAGATTTTCTTCAGTAGAACATTAATAATCTGATCTATGCAACTAGATTTCACAATACAGTAAATGAGAGTGCAGAAATGTATGCTAAAATCTATTGGTGTACATTTTTGCTATATAGTTTGCAAGTTATGCTTGTTGCTAAATAGTTGCTAGGGTTTTACCAAGTAAATGTAGAAAATGTTATTTTCATAGGACGGCATATAAACAGAAACCAAAGTTGGAGGAAGATGGGATGAGATTGGGAGCTAGAAGGCCCATGAGCCAGGTCTCGAACTTGGCATGTCCATTCATAATACAATATCATCATAATATTTTAACCCCGATAATGATAGATTATGATTTCACAAAAAACATCCATGGTATATCACGACATTTGTAAATGAAAGGGAAAAATGTTATAGACTTGCAACAGGAGCACGACAACACAAGCTTGCAGAAGTGGATGTGCAGTCCCATGAAATTAAAATAAAGTGTTTTAGATGTTAGTATCAGTATTGTTAATTTTTAAGATATCGAATAGTTAGTGTGCTTCAAAACTATGGATGTCAAAATTAATCGATTCAGACGCAGACAATTCGGTATCGGTTCAGTAATAATCATAACCGGTTATTATGTACTGACGTCATTTATCTCATATGCGCAATGTCGGGAGGCGTGTGTGTTTGCTGGAACAGTCTTTCACTGACACTTACAGCAGAAGCCCCTATTCCACTGCCATTAAGAGAATGAAGGTACTCAATTTCTCTCTCTCTCTCTCTCTCTCTCTCACTGTGGGCCCATTTGACCTGCTGGCATGACTTTTCCTCTTCTCTCGGCTGTTTTACATCGAATACTTCTGGTGCCTGCAGAGTTTTCTCTACCGTGTCTATCATGGATCAGCTGTGATCGCCGCTGCCGCTTATCAGTGTCACTCATCTGTGAAGAGCGCAGCACGCAAGAGCCAATCATTTTTGTTGTGTGTGACCTATCAAAGGGGTGTAAGAGAACTTGGTAGACAAGGATCAGCAAGCGAGCTGAATATGTATATTTGTTTATATTAATTGCTATAAATGCTTGTGTTGCTTAAAAAGGTAAAGTTTATATATATCTGACTGTTTGTATTAAATAGCAAAATTGCATTACAAATAGTATATAAATTTAAATACATTCATACATTTTAATAAAAGAATTTGCTGTGAAGAAAATATAAAACCGTGTATGGAAAGCACGTCAATGTCCGTGAGACCAGTGTAGGTTCACAGCTCTTTCCAAAACAGTGACAAAATTCAGAGTTAGAAGATTTAAAACAAAACATTATTGGCTGTTTTTAAAAAAGGTAAGGAAACTGTCTCTTTGTGTTTCGATTGAGATTATGTCAAACATCTATTAAAAATGCATAATTCAAAGCACTTCATGGGATCCTTAACTAAAAAAAATTTTAAATTAGCAAATGTATTGCTTTCTAGTTTTCTGTAAATTTAAGACACTAATTTAGCTCTGCATATACTGCAGCCAAAGCAGTAAATGGCTGCAGTACAATACTGATGAATTATTTTAGATCTTTTGTACATTTAAATGAATATCGATACTTGAGAGTATTGATAATGTATCGCAGCCGAAGCTATCACAATATAATACCATATCGATATTTTGTCCCACACATACCGCCAACGAGGCTAGCAGCACTGACAAAGTTCTAATATATTCTAATATCCGGCAGCTAGCTTCATGCCAGCAGATATAGCACTCTGCAACTTTCACATGATCGTTCACTAAAGCTAAGGAGGACTGCGTCAGGTCGGTACCTAGATGGGAGACCACATGGGAAAGCTAGGTTGCTGCCAGAATGGGTGTTGGTGAACCTACGATCTGGTGGGTCCTGAAGGCTTATTTATACTTCTGCGTCGAGTGATCTGCATGACCCACAGCTCATGCAGTGTGTAGTTGTGCATTTATACTGCTGCGTGCTGTTTGTGTTGTCGCTTCCGAAACGCTAGCTGGCAGTAGGTTTTTATGGTCCTCTGTGTCGAGATTTTTACGGATGTTTTGTTTTTTTCTAAATGCTACATTAATGTAAAAGTAGCTAAAACTCGCTCATTCAGAGGTGGGAACCGGCAGACAACTTTAATTAAAAGGTAAACACCAAACAAAAGTTTCCATCTGATGCTCCGTTACGGGACTCGACACTTGTAAACCCTAGTTCCATCGAGCTTGCAGCTCTCAGCACCGCCCACGCTCGCCACTGCTAGCAAGCAGACCAATCACAGAGCTTGCACTATTTGTCATTTGTATGTGTAGTTACATTTTTTGAGAGGTGAGCTTTAGCATCAGCGTCAGCCACAGCAAGGGCTATGTGATCGTGCACAGGCTACAGAAGTATGAATCAGCCTTAACGCCCCAGAATATTGATGGGGACTCTGTACTGCTCAGCGAGTGCCATCTCTTGGATGAGATGTTAAACCGAGGTAATGACTCTCTGTGGTCTTTAAATATCCCAGGATGTCCTTTGATAAAGAGTAGGGGTTTAACCCTGGCATTCGGCCAAATTTGCCCACTGGCCTCTGTCCATCATGGCCTCCTAAACATCCCCATATCATAATTGGCTTTATAACCATCAATCAGCTGGTGTGTGGTGTGCAGTTGGGCGCAATATGGCTGCCAATGTGTCATCCAGGTGGATGCTACACACTGGTGGTTGATAAGGAGATTCCCCCCCAAAAATGTGTAAAGCGCTTTGAGTGTCCAGAAATGCGCTATATAGCTATAAGGAACTATTATTATATCCAATAGCAAATAACCAACATGTTGTCCATCTCTGGTCATGACGGTCACCTAAAAATATCCCACTTCTAAATGCCAAAAGCTTTATAAAGATTTAATAATGTTTCAGAGGAAATCAAAATACATTTTAATTACTTTTGTTTTGTCCATAGTTCTTGGCTGACAGTAATGTAATTAAGACCACTCAATCACATGCTCTCATTAGGGTGGAAATAGGTCAGCAGAAGAGTCGTTCTTTGAATGAATGACTGGAGCAAACCAAGCCAGCGAAAGGACGGGAGGGAAAAGATGGGATAATCTGTTCCACAGTGAATAACAACTCCAAGCAAGACGCAGAGCACATGCTGAACGGGCCAGGGGAGCAAGAGAAAGAGAGAGGGAGGCGTACAGCGAGCCACGCCGCAGCTGCTAAACGAGAGTTCATTGAACTCTGGAAGCCCTGCCTGCATTGTCTGATGTGATCTACACCAATGGGCAACCAGAACAGTGATGTGAAAGAAGAAGAGAAGGCCGAGCTTTCTGAAAAACTCTGGCTAGATGTCAAAGCCCGCAGAGAGGAGACCTGCTCAGAGAGACAGAGTGAAAAATAGCCCAGGACTGGCTGTGAAACTTTAAAAAGCTGCTGAATGGCCCTTTCTGCATCTTTTAAGACTTCAATGACCTACAGCAGTACTTCGTTGCTTCACAACCACTGAGGTTGTCAATATGTGCTAAATTAGAGTCACGTTGCTTACTGTTTTTAGTATGAATTAGAGCATTTTTATTTATCACTTCATTCATCACATAAACTCTCCACAACACACACTGTATGTTATAAGTGATGTAAGCCAGAGTAGCTGCCTTTAAATATAATCGAATCTGATGAGTAAATCCACAGTAATGCAGGCCAGTGGGTTAATCTGTCTAGCAATCTGTTCGTCTGGACTACAAAAGAAAAAAAAGAAAGAAAAATCATGTGCACACACACATACAAAGTAATAATCAGATATTGTACTAAAATAATCTAAATCATAACAGCACACTTCCTATTTTATGAAGTTGAAGTGTTTGTTTCATTAATAACAAATGTTTTCAAGTATTAATTAAAAACATTGTGAGATTTCACTATTTGCATTAAGATCAGTTAGTAGAGACTTCATAATTTAGTTAATATAATTAGACTCAATCATATTAAATCAGGAAAGTCAGGATTTTAATAAGTCAGGGAAAATAAATAATTAAAAAAAAAACTCAAGCAAACTTAACATGGTACTTAATGGACCGTTTTCAAAAGACTGTTAAGACTGAAAGTTGTTAATATTTGGATTTTTAAAAATGTATGTAGATTTATATGCATTTACATGCATTATATCATCTTTGCATCAAATTACAAAAAAACTAATTATCACATGTGCAAGGTGTTTCTAATGCATTCTCATACTACTTTTTTCTGAAAGTCTTAATAATGTCATTGTAGAGTTTTGCTTTTATCATTTCTGCAAATATGACAATAAAAGATTATATGTTGTACTCTCCCATTTACTGCATTCTACATTTACCCAACTTCCACTATTGGGAAACTGGTTTAAACGAGAAAGGGTCCATGTGAATATTTACATTAACAATAAAACTACAGTTACTGTTACCAACGGTGGCCCAGTTTCTCACAATAAAATTTAATTAAAAGCAAACACAAGTTCACAGCACAGATGAATCACCAAAACCCAACAGAAATGCTCCCAGCTACAGTACTAGGGGCAGTTGATCTTGAGAAATGGCAATTGCTCCCATTTGTTTTATCCATACAGTCCGGATGCTTTACTGTTTCAGTACATAGAAAGAAACTGCAAATGTACAGCAAGTAAAACAAATCATCAAAATGTGTTAAACTATTATCTAGTGCATGCATATAGAACACAAGCATTAAGAGCATTTCTGTTATGTTATGGGTTGATTTCATTATATTGTGTCAATTCAATGGGTATGAACTTATATTTGGTTTGTAAATTCTGTAGCGTTTTAGACTTACATTTGCTTTTTAAAATGTTGTGAACATGTTTAGAAAATGCACATTTATATTTAATGTCATCTTTAAGCGTCACATTTGAGTTAAATAAAAATAACGAGCAATTTGTGGTGGACTTGTCACAGTGAATTTCAAATTACTTTTAATAAGGTAAAAGCTAAATTTACAGTTTTATATCATAGAAAATCTTATCATGAAATGGTAAAACCAAATGTCAATGTAACAATACTGTCAACATGGAAGGTTATCCCTCTAATGTCTTATATAAGGTAACTGGACACTAGTGGCGTGTTGTTGTGATATCTGATACCTAATGTTATTAATTATCCAACACAAACTGACCTGGCGTGTACAGTAGCAGGCTTTACCGCCATAATGTGATTTTGGCCTGTCCAACTAATAACAAGTTAAAAGGTTACAGATTCATTAAAAAAAAAAAAAAAAAAAATATATATATATATATATATATATATATATATATATATATATATATATATATATATATATATATATATATATATATATATATATATTAAATGCATGTGAAAATAGATATGTGTTGTGTATACATGTGTGTGTGTGTAATATATATATATATATATATATAAAGATTTTCAACATATATATATATATATATATATATATATACATATATATATATATATATATATATATATATATATATATATATATATATATATATATATATATATTACACACACAGACATGCATATACAATACATATCTACTTTCACATTCATTTATTGTTTGTTATTACAACATACTACGCATTTAAAATGCTTTATATAAAATAAATTACTAGTTACATTTATTGGTTTGACCTTCTAAGACTAAACATCAATATTTACCGAACGGCCCTTTCAGTTAATTTGTTAAAAAGATCATTCACATTGGGTCAAAACCATCAGAGCGTATTTTTATACCCTATTTATATCTATTAGGTTTAATCGAATGCACGTGCTGCTGTAAAGACTGGCGTTACTGTAAGCTTCATGCTATCAGATCGCATTTGACTGTCTTTGTCAACTCTAGCACGCTGAGCTCGAGTGAACTGCCAAGAGTCTTATCGCCTGAGTCGCATGCAGAGTCAGGACGTTTCGCCCTACAGCACTGTCTATTCAGCCTTTAGTTAACTGTAAACGGCGTGCTGTAAATTAATAGCCATACTACAATATTCTTAATACAATTCAGTATACATGACGCTTGATATTATACATGATATACGCCAAGAATCATTATAAATTTACAGTTATGTGGTTTTGCCGGTTCGCTGAATCGATATACTCAGCGAGCAGCCGCTTTCCCCTATGCTAGCTTGCTAACTAAACCATGCGCCCACCCCTCATTATGCATCAAACTAAAGGAAATACGTAGGCAACGCCTGGTGTGGAAAGAGAAAAGTTTTACCTTTAGAAAATGCTCTTGATGCGCCATCACTCTTAAAATGGACCTCTTTTTGCGCACTGTGAGCCTGTTCTCGTCCTTGAAACTGCCCACAACACAACCTATAGGCAGCAGTGCACTTGACAGACACTGCACACAGAGGGGAAAAGATGTATGACAGCCGGGCTTATTCCGCCTCCCCCGCGTCGTCCTGTAATTCAATTTAGAACCACTAAGGGTCGTCGTTAGATTGGGTGAAAAGTTAAAACTAACAAGGTTGAAACATTAGAGCTCTTCAGTTTCTTTTCAATAAATTCAGTTCAGTGTCAGGAGTGGCTAACAAATATGACCATGTGGTTAACGTTACTTAAAGAGACAGATGCCTTTTTAAACAACGTAGCATACATTTAAAAGGATCGTTGCCCTAAAAATGAAAATGTACTCACTATTAACTTTTCCCCTCCTAGGTGATTTCAAACTTTTATGACAGGGGTGTCAAACTCAGTTCCTGGAGGGCAGCGGCAGCAACCCTGCTTCAACACACTTACCTGTCGACTTTAAGTTCAAATAAGCCTGAAGGACTTAATTAGTTTGATCAGGTGTGTTTAATTAGGATTAAAGCTAATATGTGCAGGACTGTGGCTTTCTATCCAGGAAGTGTAGGGCTGCATTCCAGTCCATTTTTATGCCCTTCACTTGCAAAAAGGTATTTAAGTTTTCAAGTGTACTGAGGGATATTTTGTGTATTCTGATCCACAGTATCCTTTGATTAGCTATTTTAAAGGTTACTGTAATTCAAACTATACAAACTACACATCTAATTTGACTTTACATTTAGATTATACAGAAACAAACACCTATTTTATGAGGAAAAGTCTTGTGAACAGTAATGTTGTCTATCAATGCCTAACAGGCTGATTGGTGTGATTATGCGTCCACAATGAACTGATGTAGGGGTGGTCAAATGTATATTTATATTATCTCTTTTTAAATAATTGATATTTAAGATTCAGATCAGAAAAAGCACCCTGCATTAAAGGAAAAGTTTCTTTCTTTCTTTCTGTCTTTTTTTCTTTCTTTCTTTCGTTTAACACAAAATGAATTTTGGTATATGTTTAAAACCTGTATCCATTGACTTCTCTAGTAATATTTTTTCCTACTTTGGAAGTCAACATTTCTTCTAAATGTATTTTGTGTTTAACAGAAGAAATTCATAAAGGTTTGGAACCACTTGAGGTTGAGTAACAGTCAGTAGGCTATATTTAAATTTTTAGAGTAAACTATCCCTTTAAACATAGCTATATTTAAAGTGATAGAGTATTTAACTGTTAGGCCAGTTCAAAAATTCTGTTTGTATGCTAATATTCGCAAAACAAATAGGAGTCTGTAAAATTCTTATAATAATGACTAATATCTCAATAATGTATTTCCTCAAAACAGTGACACTGTTTTGTTTTCATAATAGTGACTATGTATTGTTCGTGGAAGGAATTGTCATACTGTAAACAGCATCAGTTTTTAATACAGATGGAGAATTAGCCAATCAGAAATGCTCTTTGTCAGATTTCTCTACCATAGCCATTGGCTTAGAAGTTTGTAGTATGTCTTGTCTTTGTTAATGTCTTGAGTTTGAAGTAAAATGTCTAAAGTTAATTTAAAGCAGTGGCTATATAATATACTATGGTATACTATACTATACTATACTATACTATAATATAATGTAATATAATATAATATAATACAGGGCGAGGCAGAAGCGCAGTAGGTAGTGCTGTCGCCTCACAGCAAGAAGGTCGCTGAACCTCGGTTCAGTTGGCATTTCTGTGTGGAGTTTGCATGTTCTCCCTGCCTTCGCGTTGGTTTCCTCCGGGTGCTCCGATTTCCCCCACTGTCCAAAGACATGCAGTACAGGTGAATTGGGAAGGCTAAATTGTCCGTAGTGTATGAGTGTGTGTGTGTGTGTGTGTGTGTGTGTGTGTGTGTGTGTGTATGTGTGTGTGGATGTTTCCCAGAGATGGGTTGCGGCTGGAAGGGCATCCGCTGCGTAAAAAACTTGTTCAATAACTTAGCGGTTCATTCTGCTGTGGCGACCCCGGATTAATAAAAGGACTAAGACGACAAGAAAAATGAATGAATAATATAATATAATATAATATAATATAATATAATATAATATAATATAATATAATATAATATAATATAATATAATATAATACAACACAACATAATACAGGGTCGACATGGTGGCGCAGTAGGTAGTCACCTCACATCAAGAAGGTCGCTGGTTCGAGCCTCGGCTGGGTCAGTTGTCGTTTCTGTGTGGAGTTTGCATCTTCTCCCCACTTTCATGTGGGTTTCCTCCAGGTGCTACGTTTTCCCCCACAAGTCCAAAGACATGTGGTACAGGTCAATTGGGTAAGTTAAATTGTCCGTTGTGAACGAGTTTGTATGGATATTTCCCAGTGATGGGTTTCGGCTGGAAAGGCATCCGCTGTGTAAAACATGCACTGGATAAGTTGCCGGTATTATCTGCTGTGGCGACCCCAGATTAATAAAGGGACTAAGTCGAAAAGAAAATGAATGAATGAATGAATGGCATGGGAGTCATGGTGGTGCAGTGTGTAGCACGATCGCTTCACAGCAAGAAGGTTGCTGGTTTGAGCCTCAGCTGAGTCAGTTGGCATTCTGTGTGGAGTTTGCATGTACTCCTCGTGTTCGCATGGGTTTTCTCTGGGTGCTCCGGTTTCCCCCACAAGTCCAAAGACATGTGGTATAGGTGAATTGGGTTAAGCTTAATTGTCGGTAATATTTGTGTCTGAATGAGTGTGTATGGATGTTTCTCCGTGATGGTAGCTGGAAGGGTGTCCGCTTCGTAAAACATGGCAGCTAGATATGTTGGCGGTCCATTCTGCTGTGGCGACCCCAGAATAGTTGCCTGCATTTAGGAACTTCCTCTAAATACATGCTGGCAACACTGTCGTCAGTCATAGACACCATCTAGTAATTCATACATATACATACAAATTAAAACTAAATTTTTCCTATATAACAAGCAATGGATAAAATGTTTTCTGCAGGACTGACTCTAGATGATTAGACCTATCAGATGATCACTACATATATTGTGTGTGCTTGATCTTTAGATAAACATAAAGCTCCTTGATTGAACTTCTGAAGAAAATTTGCATGAAATTCACTTTACTAATCTGAATGCAGTGTTGATGCCTTCAAGCAGTCTTTTTAAATCTTGCAGGCATCCCGCTGACTCTTAATTGTGTATTCAGAAAGTACCAAGAACATTTGCATATGTATTCCGGACACGTTCCTCTTTAATTGTGCTAGTGTGAGTATTCCAACATTTCTCCTTATTTCGTAGTCTCTGTAAAGGATGGAGGTTTGGTTTTAAGGAATGATTTTAGGCTTATACTGTATATAAATCTGAAAACAAAAGTACCTTGCTTGACTTTTAACACAGAAGAAGAGTTTTTGCACATGCAGTTCTTACTTAAAACAAAAAGTAAATAATTTTTGTTATTAATGAGAATTAATTCTTAGTTATACTGCACTGTGAACAGCTAATCTGATTATGACTTCAGAACAGTCTCAAATCAGGCATCTGGTTCTGACATTAGTTTGCTTCAGTATTCAGAGTGACACAGCTTGCATTGCCCTTTCTCATCACTTCTGTCTATTGCAAAATGCATATGTAAAGCCAGGATTATTCATTTCAAGCCTACACTGTTAAAAAAGTAAATTTTATATTAAGATACTGGCATCTTTGTTTGATTTACTTTTAAAACAGAGCATTTCTAAATTGCATATTGTTAATTTCTATAATGTCAATACACTAACGGTGGTTCATTCCTGATTAATAAAGGGAAAAAGCCGAAAAGAAAATGAATGAATAATGCACCAACATTTTAAATAAACCTTCATTCATTATTTTTCCCTTGGCTTAGTCCCTAATTTATCAGGGGCCGCCACAGTGGAATGAACCACCAACTATTCCGACATGTGTTTTATGCAGCTTATGCCCTTCCACCTGCAACTTGGTACTGGGAAACACTGATACAATGTCGCATCTGCATGTACAATCATACTATGGCCTCTAATTCACCTATACTGCAATTTTGGATCGTAAGAGACACGGGGAGAACATGCAAACTCCACAAATTGGGTAGGCTAAATTGTCCGTAGTGTATGAGAGTGTATGAGTGTGTATGGATGTTTCCCAGAGATGGGTTGTAGTCGAAAGGGCATTCGCTGTATAAAACATATGCTGGATAAATTGGCGGTTCATTCGCTGTGGCAACCCCAGATCAATAAAGGGACTCAGCCAAAAAGAAAATGAATGAATGAATTAATGAAAAAAAAATTAATAAAAATTTTTTCAAAAGTTTTTCGTTCTTCAGGAAAAATATAATATGCAAATCCGAAAACCTAAGGAAGGTGCTTGATCGCAATAACGACTTATGCAATATGATATGATATAATATGATCAATATGCAAAAATAAGCACACTACAATTTCTTTACACACTACCATTGCTCTCAAAAAATAGTTTATTGAAATGTTTATTTTTCCTTACCATAAAAGTAACTCTCCTTCACAACATGGTTTCATAACACAATGTAAAAATCAGCATGAACCCAGATTCTCAATTACAAGTGTTAAATCTTAATTCATGGTAAAAAAAAAGCAGTGCTTATGACAACCCCATAGTCCCAAATGAATTAATCACTGAAATATAAGCAACAACAAACACTACTTTTGTTTCTGGACATAATTTTACACATTTTCTTTTGCTCATTTCTCATTATTGATTTTTAAGACATGTTGAAAGTTTGTCATGGATGTGTGCTTACCACGTGATCATCGTGTGAAGCCTCACAAATACTTAAAGATGGCACAAATTTTTGGCATTGTTTTTAGTACGGCATGCACACCTGATATGAAGTCTCAGCTCACCTGAACAGCTTGAACACCTGGAAGGCTCTTGATAGTTGGCTGTAACTCTAGCTGTCCCAGGGCTCCGGGCCTCAGAGTTGATTTGCATCTGCCATCGTTTTTTTTCCTCAGGCATTGCACTCTAATGTATCCCAATGGTCTGTCCCATTCTCATGATAATCAGCATGAGTGAAAGTAGCCTTTGCTGCGCTATAATTTTATCACGTGGGACATCAGTGCCTCTGCTACCTGCACCTGATCAGTTTACATCACTGCTTGTAATTATCTAATTTAGGCTCTGTTTATGTTTTGATCCTATAAAAACAGTGATTGATAAAAGACATTCTCCTTGTGTGTGTGTTCAAAAATGACTTTTGTTGCTTGTTTAATCTACTTATTTATAATGAGTTGAAACAACACAATTCTTATGTTTTTTGGGGGATAACGTAATTGCTTTATGTTCAATTCAATTAAATTTGTAAAACGATTAAGTTAACTTTATAGATTTGTGTTGGGGAAACATGAAACAATTGTGTGAAACCCAGCATTTTTTTTTACACTGTTGCCACCACACTGTAAAAACACTGGGTTTCACAGAATTCCTTCATGTTGTCCCAACATGTTTGCACTAATACAAGGTTAACTTAATCATTTCAATACATTGTTGTGGATTGAACATAAAATAATTAAAGTTGTGCCATAAAAACTAAGAATTGTGTTGTTTTAATTGTTCAACAAAAGTTTTTTTAATGCATTTTACTCATTGTTAAATGCTAAATATGTATTTTAATGAGTGTTTTTGTTTCAATTTATAGCTAGAACATTATTTAAACAAAACATAAATGGTTAGTCTTAACTTTCAAATATGTTTGGTGAAAAAAACAATAATATAATGTCAAATTTTGTGTACAATATGGCTTATTCAAGAAATTTCAATTAATTTAGAAATGTTGAAATATATATATATTTATACATATATTTATAACATTATTTAACAGAGCAAGGACATTCTCACAGTATGTCTGATAATATTTTTTCTTTGGAGAAAGTCTTATTTGTTTTATTTTGATATGAATAAAAGCAGTTTTTAGTTTTTTAAAAACCATTTTAAGGTCAATATTATTAGCCACTTTAAGCTAATTTTGTTTTTGATAGTCTACAGAACAAACCATCATTATACAATAACTTGCCTAGTTACCCTAACCTGCCTAGTTAACCTAATTAAGCCTTTAAATGTCACTTTAAACTGTATAGAAATATATAGTCAAATATTATTTCCTGTCATCTTAGCAAATATAAAATAAATCGGTTATATAAAGAAATGTGTTGAAAAAAATCTTCTCTCTGTTAAACAAAAATTGGAAAAAAAAATAAACAGGGGGGGGGGGTAATAATTCTGACTTCAACTGTATAAATATATAAATATATAAATATATATATATATATATATATATATATATATATATGTGTGTGTGTGTGTGTGTGTGTGTGTGTGTGTGTGTGTGTGTGTGTGTAATATTTATATGTAATAATGTTAATACTAATATATACATATGTATGTATGTATTTACTGATACATTTAAATAGTTTTAGAGAATATATTTTAGCTGACAAAAGTCTTGTCGTCGATTGTAAGAGCAATAAAAATAACTTGACTTCTAGTTGACCATTTGGAAAAGTGTCAGAAGGCGATTTTTCTGATAAATCATCTGTTGAACTGCATCCCAATCATCACAAATACTGAAGAAGAGCTATTGGAACCAGCATGGACCCAAGACTCTCACAGAAATCAAGTTTGGTGGAGAAAAAATTATGGTTTAGGGTTCCATTCAGTATGAGGGTGTGTGAGAGATCTGCTGAGTGGATGGCAACATCAACAGCCTGAAGTATCAAGACATTTGTGCTTCACATACTTCAGCATCCACATTAAAGTTTCTGAAAGCAAAGAAGATCAGGGTGCTGCAGGATTTGCTAGCCCAGTCACTAGATGTGAACATTATTGAGCATGTCTGGAGTAAGATGAAGGAGGAGACATTGAAGATAAATGCAAAGAATCTTGATGAACTTTGGGAGTCCTGCAAGACTGCTTTCTTTGCCATTCCAGACAACTTTATTAATGAGTTATTTGAGTCATTGTAGAGATGGGAGTCATACAATAATCATTAATTTCCCACTGGGAAATGATAGCATGATTTTCTATTATACTCTACATTATTTTTGTTAAGTGACAATACTTTTGTCTCAGCAAAGTCAGACCTTCTTTGTTAAATAATTAAGAATCAAGACATAATCATATTTTATTTTAGCAAAATAAGCATTATCTAGAGGCCTTTGCCTTCTCTGATACCAAACGAGCAACTAGAAGTCAAGTTATTATTTGTTGTTCCTACAACTTGGATCAGCAACAAGACTTTCTCAGGTAGTGATGCCTATTAAGTCTATATGTTAATCGTGTTGTTTGGTGTTTTGATTTGTTTTCCTGTTAGGGCTATTCATGACTGGTTTTCATGTAGTTAATTGTATCAAGTGTATATTACATAACAGGAAATATGACTTAATAACCTCACCTACTTAACAGCATAATGAACCACACTCTTTAATAATGAACTCATGGGATTTAAATCACATCTGTCTCCTACACAGAGATTACGTTTTAATTGTTAAACCTATTGACATCACTGTGACCAAGACGAACCGGCTGACCCTGTATTCATGATTTACACACACAAACAAAAAAAGGCCAAACAGGGATACTTTCCTGTCCTCAAATTTAAGGAGACGCACTGTCTGAGGATAAATGCTGCTTCTCTAAGTGGCCTGTTTTCCTCAGAGCCTGAAACACAATCTCTATGAATGGCACATCCTTTCGCTATCAGATTTTTGTGTGTGCTTGTGTACTCTTATCTGGGGGCCCATCTATACAGGCCCCATCTATACATTACCCTTTGCATGTTTGATCATGGCTATCTTAAAGACCCCTTTGTGCAACTCGTTCCCCAGTGTGATGTTTTTGGGGATGTGTGGCATTGACAGTTCATAGGTGGTGACTTAAGTGGTATATTGTGGATCTACAGTAAATGCTGGTATCGCTGGCATTCATTATTGGCCTGACTCCTGCGGTTCCGGAAGAAGCTTGTTTCCTGAATTACTCTGCTTTGTTACTTCCTGAAAAGGGCTGAAGGATGTCTAAACCACAATGCTTTGTCTTTATGAGTGACTGACTTTCGTAAAATACTACAAAAACGAATCTGTTGATGCCATTTTCTTTCAAACCAGTGTCAACATGAACACCTCAGTGTTATACATTGACACACTTAACCACTAGACTTTAGGCCAGGGGTGTCCAAACTACGGCCCGCGGGCCATCTGCGGCCCACAATCAGTTTTGTGGCGACCTGCGAGGCTTTTTATGAATATCAATAGAATCTGGCCCGCTATACAAAAATGAATGGATGAATATCTATCTATCTATCTATCTATCTATCTATCTATCTATCTATCTATCTATCTATCTATCTATCTATCTATCTATCTATCTATCTATCTATCTATCTATCTATCTATCTATCTATCTATCTATCTATCTATCTATCTATCTATCTATCTATCTATCTATCTATCTATCTATCTATCTATCTATCTATCTATCTATCTATCTATCTATCTATCTATCTATCTATCTATCTATCTATCTATCTATCTATCTATCTATCTATCTATCTATCTATCTATCTATCTATCTATCTATCTATCTATCTATCTATCTATCCAGTTGAAGTCTGAATTATTAGCCCCTCTTTGATTTATTTCTTCTTTTTTAAATATTTCCCAAATTATGTTTAACAGAGCAAGGACATTTTCACAGTATGTCTGATAATATTTTTTCTTCTGGAGAAATACTTATTTGTTTTATATCGGCTAGAATAAAAGCAGTTTTTTATTTTTTATGAACCATTTTAAGGTCAAAATTATTAGCCCCTTAAGTCTTCAGAACAAACCATTGTTATAAAATAACTTGCCTAATTACCTTAACTTGACTAGTTAACTTAATTACCCTAGTTAAGCCTTTAAATGTCACTTTAAGCTGTATAGAAGTGTCTTGAAAAATATCTAACCGGAGCACCCAATCGAACGCAGGGAGAATATGCAAACTCCACACAGAAACGCCAACTGAGCCGAGGTTCGAACAAGCGACCCAGCGACCTTCTTGCTGTGAGGCGACAGCACTACCTACTGCCCACTGGAACAAATTATTTCTGAACATTCTGCTGCAAACAATTTATAAGGGTTGAATTTAAACAGACAACTTAAATTTAGAAATATTCTACTTAATTTGTTTATTTAAAGTCAGTCCAAATAAACTATGTACAACCACTTACCTTAAAAAAATTGTAAATCCATATTTTTTTTTCAGTTTAGGAAACAGAAACATGTCTCCTTGCATTAAATCTTCATTTGTGTCAGGACATTCTATTCTTCTTTAAGTTCTCACATATTAAAAAATGGCACCCCATTCACTCATACAATGAGCAAACTATTTGTTTGTTTTGTTCAGTTATAAAATATACACAACTTCAGTCTTAAAATTGATATATATCGAGAACTTTTATTAAAGTTGACCAAAAACTATTGGACAACAGCCATTTTTGTCTAAAAAATTTTGATAAACGTTTTCATCCACTTACACACACACACACACACACACACACACACACACACACACACACACACACACACACACACACACATTCATATATATGACAACCAGACTGTGCAAAACTGTATATCTTTGGATTTGTTGTGTCTCAGTGAGACTGACCTTAATGACACTGTGCCTCTTTAAGAGTGATTCTGGCACGACTTTGTTGAGCACTAATGGCAATCCACCAACCAGCATACCTGCCAGGCGGAGTTTGAAAAGTATTACATAACATAAAATGAGTCTAAATTGGAAACCCAAAGTCCCCAAAGATACCTATTCTTAAATGAATCCTGCAAGTTGGCAGAGTATGACTTCTGAGTATGCCAAATTCCTTTCAGAAAAAAATGGAGGACTGAAATGTTACTGGAAGATGAATACATGTAAAAAAATAAGATAAAATAAAATAAAATTGCAGCAGGAGTAAGTTTTTGATTAAAAGCTGAGAAAATGGTCTTCCCCTTGAGACATTGGTCATTTAAAAGTCAATGTCTGGCCCGCACAGAGGGCTTTTTGTGCTCTCCTTCACAATGCTATCACCAAAAGGCCTTACCAGACTGGATGACCAAAGCAGCGAGGGGGGTTTCTGCCTACCTGTGAACCTATAAAGCAGCTCTTCAGCTGACTTCAATGATCTCTGCTCATAGGATTTATCATCATTTAGCTGCTGAAGACCTACACAGGAACCATGCAAAACTTCTGCTAGAGACCTGAGCCAACATTTCTTCTGGATTCTGCCACTGGGATGGTACGGACATTCATTATAAATCAAATATTACAGTGCTTTTGTATTGACAATAATCGTATTATCATTAAAAATCAACAGTTTAGGTCATGAGTGATATTTTAGGCAAACCATGAATATGTAACGCAACTGTCTTTGTTTAGTTTAACAAAATGGCAGCTGTTGGCCTTTTCTTCATCCTCCTCCCCGTGACGTGGGCCTGTGCCCCTCAGAAAGCTGGTAAATGTAATATAAGCATAATAATTTAAGCATTTCCTCTGATTGTGGATGAGAAGGGCTTGGCTGTTGTTGCCTTGATTTAATCTGCTAGATAATCCTGACAGACCAATTTGTCATCTGTTTCAGATTACGTGATGGTGTCATGTTTTCCCAATGCCATCATCGCAAACGTGCCAGAATGTCCATATGGATGGGAGATCGGCCAGCTGTCATTGGGTGGCGTGTGCTATACGGGCATTAATACCCCGGGCTTTTACCGTTTTACCATCCCAGACCTCACTCCTAAAAATCATTCATACTGCGGCACTTTGTCTGAGGTAAGATGTTTGATGGGTTTAAAACACAAAATAAATGATTCATTGGATTTATTAGTTTAAGGTAAGTGGTTGCAAACAAATTATAAGGGCTGATTCAACACTCAAACCATTTCCTTTTTTTTTTTTTTTTGCTTGTTCAAACTACCGATTTAAAATAAGCTAAAACAACACAATTCTTGAGATTTCATCAGGACAACTTAATTTGTTTATGTTTATTCCAAATAAATTTGGGCAATGCGGTGGGTAGCACAGTTTTCTGCACAAGTCCAAAGACATGTGATACAAGTGAATTGACCGGAGTGTGTGAAGGAGCATGCGGCTGGAAGGGCATCCGCTCGTAAAAAAAACATGCTGGATAAGTTGGCGGTCAATTCCCTGTGGCGACCCCAGGTTAATAAAGGAACTAAGCTGAAAAAGAATGAAGGAATTTAAATAAATTTGTTAAATCTGTTAAGTTAACTTAATCAATTTGTGTTGGGACAACATGAATTAATTGTGTGGAACCATGCATTTTTTCACCATGAATGATTTGTGTTCAACTTAAATTGTTTGTTTAAATTCAGCCAATATAAATTGTTTGCAACAGTTTGCAATAAACCTTTTTTTGTCAGTGTAGATCCTAATTGTTATTTCATTTTAAAAAGAACACTGTAAATAACTTTATGATCAATAAGTCCTGACCTGTATTTTTGGGTTAGTTTTAAAGCTGTTTTAAGTCAGATTAATGTATTGTAAGTGACAGTGGTTAAAACAATTCAAATTTACCTCAACTTAAAAAATTTTAAGGGATAATTCACCCAAAAATGAAAATTACCTCATCATTTATTCTACATCATGTGGTTTTAAATCTTGAGATTGTTTCTTCTATTGAACACAAAAAAAAAAAAAAAAAAAAAAAATATATATATATATATATATATATATATATATATATATATATATATATATATATTTGTTTTTTTTTTTTTAATTATATACCATGCCTGACTCAAACATAGCAATTCACAGTTAATCAAACTACAAAAATCTATGCACAGGGCCATAGCCAGCCTAGTGAATAGCTTGTTGGATGGTCATCAGAACTAAACTTTTTGTTGAACCAAAACCAAAAATGCATTAAAATACAACTTTATTACATGATTTATCATACATAAAGGATTTATTAGGCAAATAACAATCTGGTCAGCACATTCAACTTTCCTCAGTTAGAATTTGGCTATTGAAATAAAAATATAAAATAAACAAATAAATAAACTATAATAATGTAGTGCTTCACATTTTTCTAGATTTTTATCTTGCAAAATGTTAAATTGAAAATTCATGGATAACACCAGCCTAATTAGTATTAAAATTAACTTTAATATGGGCCAGTTTAGGTGCTTCACCCCTTTTTTGATATTTTTTTTGTTTTATGAATAAGGTCCAAAATTTAGAATAAAAGCTACTTGTAAATTGTTTTCTTTATTTAACAACAATACAGTGGGTCAGTAGTGAAAGATGACTTCACTTGCCTTAGATTGTATATTTTCTTGCACACAAGTTGGACTCATCATAAAAATAATTGTTAGCATTGGCCTAAACTGATTACTTTAAGTCACAAAAGTCAACAGAGGATTCGATTTGGTCTTAAAGCCTTCTTCGATGGGTTATTTTCACAATTTAACATGGTATAGCAGTCAAAATAGGACAAACGAGCTCATGTATGGGACAAATTCGACCTTTGTCAGTGAGGGTGGGTCTTTCAAACCACCTGAACCCCTACTGGCAATGGGCCTGATGTATGCAATGCTTTGAAACCGTCTAAATAGAAGTAAAAAAATCAAAGAACTGAAAATAAGATATACATGATAGGTATCAGGTTTTAAGCTTGTCCAGCAAAATATTAGTCCAGTTTTGAATAGTGCAAAAATTGATATTTTGGAGAATGCTGAATGCTAGAACTCATCAAATTCCATAGTGGAAAATCTGTTTATAACGACCAATTGTGTTCAACAGAAGAAAGAAACTAAAACAGGTTTTAAACAAGTGAAGGGTACATTTTTATTTTTGGTGAACTATCCCTTTAAGGCAACTACTAATTTGTTGTTGTTGTTTTGCTTTTGGCAACTCAGAATGAATGTTTTTTTTTTCAATGAAGTAAACATATATTCCTGTTACCTTCTTTTCAGTATGTAGGAGGCAAAGATCCACGGTATATTTTCTACAACTCGATTGTCTCCAACGACTCGTCTCTCACTGTGCGGAACCAGCCGGTCAACTACACGTTCAGTTGCACTTATAAAGCGGCTTATCTGGTCAACAACGCCGTGTTTAGCCAAAGGTAGACCCAGTTACATTGACGTCAAAGTCCAGTAGGTGTAGATTTGATGGAGCCTGTGCATTCTGACCGTAGACTTGCAGCGTCTTTACTAAACCCTCTGCTTCTTCCAGAGTGGCAACAGTTTATGTCAACAACGGGAGTTTAGGTTCTTTTAAGTCTCAGTTGTCTATGAACGTGTTCACAGTAAGTACTTCAGCTTTCCTCAGAAGTGTCCAGTGCTGAAGATTGTGCAAAAAAAGGGAAATCTCCTTATATATATATATATATATATATATATATATATATATATATATATATATATATATATATATATATATATATATATATAAGCTGAAATAAAATGAGCAAATAAATAAATAATATATTTTTTGTTAAGATTTCTAGACGTGTTTTAGTAAAACCTTTTTGATTTATTCTAAATAGTCCCTGAAATTATAATACAGTAAAAAAAAAATTGCCAATAAGATATTTTTTACATGAAATAAAAAAAACATGTGCCATGATTGCAGATATTCAATTCATCTTTATTTCTACACTGTAAAATATTAATGATCAATTAGTCATGACAGCATATGTTTTTAGTTCACTGTAACCTATTAAACTAAATTAGAACATGCAAGCAGTTTCAAGTTCAATCGACTCAAAGTTAGCCACTAAAATTAAGAACCAGGATTTTTTTTTAGTGCTTTTACAATGTGTAAAGATTGTAAGATTGTGTCAAAGCAGCTTAACATAGAAGTTCTTTTTTTCTATATAATTAAATATGTTTTAGATAATAATACAGTTTTAAGATCACAAATGTTAAAGGGATAGTTCAACCAAAATTGATAACTCATCAGAAAGTTCAACAGAACAGGAAAACTCAAACTGGTTAAAGCGAAGTTAACAATGGCAGAATATAACATTTAGGGTGAATATATCTGGATGGTTTTGTGATTCAAGATTATATGACCTGTTTTTCTATTTGCATGTTTTTATTTAGATGTACTTTTGTTTATTCCCTTCTGCTATGGATGTTGCCAAGCCTTTCATGTTAAACGATAACATATGGACTGAACAAATATGGGATGCTTTTTCCCCCTCACATTCAATTCAGATAGCCTGGAATGCTATATATTTTACTATTATTACTAGTTTGATTTATTATTATTAGTTGGTATTATTATGATGTTTAGCTTATTTTTTCTGCAATCATTGACTTCAATAGTTTTTTTTTTCTGCTCTGATTGTCAATGGCTACTGGTTTCAGACAATCTCCAAAATATCTTCTTTTGTAGTCAACAGAACATTTTTAACTGGTTTAATACAAGTGGAGAGTAAATTATGGCAGATTTAATTGGGGGGGAGGGGGGGGGGTGAAGTATCCCTTTAATGTTTGATAGTTTGCTATATATTTTATTATTATTATTAGTTTGAATTATTATTATTAGTTTACTTATTTTTTTTAACTTTATTTTATAAAAACTTTATTTAGTTTTAATGTGTGTATATATTGTTTTTGTGTGTGTGTTTTTTTTCTTTCAATGCTGTGGTTACAGTAGGTAAGGGCCAATGTACTGTTCTGATTTGTAAATGCAAAACATAAGTATATATTCTAAAAATAAAAAAATAAAATAAATAAAATTTAGGGTGGCGGTTTATTCCGCGGTGGCAACCTCAGATTAATAAAAGAATTAAGCCGAGAAAAAAAAAAAACAATTGAATGAAAGAAAATTTCGGGCAAACTATCACTTTAAGGAAAAAAAAGTGGAATAACCCTGATTTTCATTTTACATTAAATAAGAATGTTTGTTATTTAAATCAATTGTCATTTTCATTAAAAAAAGTGCTCAAATTGACAATTTTATTTCAATTTGAGAAGAAATGTAACATTACTTCTTAGAATAAAAGTAATATTAAAATTTTACTACTGTACATAAATCCACTATATTCAGAAAGTTTCCTCAAAGCTTTTTTCTCACAAAATAAATAAACTACACATAACTTTGATGTATGTGGTTTACAGAACTCAAAGTTCCTCTACGCAAAAGATGCACCGTATGTGATTGACACATCAGAGATTGGATCTGAGGTTTTCATTGGCATTGAAGCAAAAGGACTGAGCAACAGGTGAGTCAATCTTAAAAGAAGTCTACACTTGATCAAATACACAGACTCCATGTAAAAGGCTCTCTTTAATTTAGATTCAAAGTTGTAATCACAAACTGCTGGGCAACACCAACTCCATATTCAACAGACAGAAAAAGGTGGACTTTAATTCAGAACAGGTGAGGTTTTATTGTCAGTTTCAGATGTATTATGTCAGAATATGCATATCCTGCATACTCAATACTGCTCACTGAGTTATACATTTGCTCCCGGTTCATAGTTGTTCATTAGACAACACAGTCACCATATTTGAAAATGCCAAAGACAGTCGGTCCATGTTCAAGTTCAACTCGTTCCGCTTTCAACGGCTAGAAAAAGTGTCAACCGTGTGGCTCCACTGTGAAGTCCAAGTATGTGACGGGGAGAAGTTGTTCTGTCAGCCGGTGAGTTTCAGTATCGTTTCAACACTATTGCAGTTACAAATAAATTCACTTGCCACACTGACACTCTTAACTTTATACAAGACTCCCTGCACATCAAGAAGCACTGAGTTTGAACCTGATCCGAATGGAGGCATACTTACAATGGAGTTTCAAGTCAGAGGTATTTAACATTGGTACTTGTGCAAGATTTTTCAGTAACATATTCAGCTTTAATCTTCGTAACTCTTCGTTTACAGCACAACACTCCTCCAGTTACATCCATCCTGCAGGTGAGTTTGTATTAACAGTTTATGATCGTGAATAATTTTCATTGATATTTATTTGTGTTTTAATAAGGCCATATGATATTTGTCACATTTGTTTTTCTTCGTAAAAAGATAATGGAAATTCTGCCATCATTTACTCACCCTTGACTTGTTCCAAACCTGTTTAAAACAAAAGAGAATTTAAAGAATATGTTTAAAATCTGTAAACATTGACTTCCACAGTATTTGTTTTTCATGCTATGGTTGTCAATGGCTACTGGTTTTTAACATTCTTCAAAATATCTTTATTTGTAGTCAACAGAACATAAAAAAATTTGGTTTGGAACAAGTGAAGGGAGAGTAAAAGATGGCAGATTCATTTTTTGGGGGGTTAACTATGCCTTTAATGTATATCTCATTCTTGCTGTAAATATAAGCAAAGTTCTTAGTCTCTTAGTTTCCCACAAAAGGGATTTATATATAAGTCTATGTCTCAACTTGTAATATTATAACGCCTTTCAAAGGAATTTGCAAAGAAAGTAGGCAAGGCTTCGGTAAATTGTGGTGCTATAGCCAATCAGAAGGCATCTGCGTCAACTGTCCAATCAGAACGCGCTTCCTGTTTTGGACGTATAGTATTATATAATAATGTACCGTATGTATGTGGATTTATTATTAACATTAAATTAACAATTAACATGAAAACAAATTAGAATATTCAGGTATTACCAATAAACAAAACAATGATCTTTTAACACAGCATCATGATGCCTCTTTAAAGTATACAGATGTTACATGAGCAATACCACATGAGTAGCAGTAGATGTGGCTGTATATCAGCACTGGAGGGAGGCATGCTTTGGCCTTAGTGTCCCACCAGGGACAATATACAGCCACATTGCTCTGCTATAAGTGTGATATTGCGTTTATACAACAGTTTGGCGGCATAATCGTGTATAAAAAGAAAATCAAACATGCAGAGTCTCAAAATTCTTTTGTATGAGGAACTACTTTCCTCCGCCATTCATTCACATCTGCAGCTGACATCAGAACAGGAGTAACCGTTGCTACTTTACCAACGTCACTTCAGAGCTAGTATTTGAATGATTCTCTAGCGTAATGTCTAAATTGATGAAGAAATGGGTAATTTTGCTAACATTTTAAGATTATAAGGCTGAACAGCATGAAATGCCATCAGTCTACAGAGATTTCCCAGTATTTCACTGTTGCAATCGGGAGATCACAAAAATTAACCCCAAAAAAGCCAAGCAATGCAATCTCTACCAGATTACTGTTTCCAGACATGAAAACAATGCGAGGTCACGTAATATATCTTTCGTTATTAACTATATAATGGAGAAAGAAGACTTTAGTGCGGTAGAAAATGTTCTTCTTTGGCTCACCTGGCTTTTAAAGAATTTTTTTTAACTTTTCAACCCAGTTATGATATTGCTCAGATGATATGTCAAACAGACATGGTGCTCCTGCCAAATTTACACTAGTTTTTCCTTAATTTCCTGGGTCCAAATAAACTGAAGATGAGCGCTTTTAACATCTCTCCCAACCTCCCGCTGGCCTGCTGGTATCTATACTAGTGGATGCTGCTCTCTCATTAGCTGTAGGCAATCGCAGATGTTATTTTCATTCATAACTCATAATTTCATAATTTCATAATTTCGCACTGCATGATTTGAATTCGCCAACAGCTCCAGATATTTAGCATGCCAAATATTTCATGGGTGTCGCAAGTCATCTGCGATTCTCTCAGATCGTGTCTTTGATAGTTCACATTGTGTGATTGTTATTCACGTGAACAAGCACCGATTTGCCTGTGATTTCAGGCATTTGATTTCTTATAACCTGTCGGCACGTCAAAATCAGAGCTAAAATCAAGCAATCTGAACTTGGCATGAGGGTTTATTATCCAGACTCTGTCACTATCTTGTGGATGGACAACGTCACTCGTCTTGGGTCTGCTAATGACCGCCGACGGGCTGTCTCTCAGAAATTATAAATATTTAAAAGTAGGCACTATCCTTATTAATAAACTGCATAGTTACAATCTAAACAACAACATTCTTGAGTAAAAAGCCTCAAAAGTACATTATGTTGCCCAACAGCAGCAATATTTTTCAAACTGTAGAGTGTCCTCTGCTTTTTGCTGTATTTGGGTGGAGTAATACACAAGGGTGAAGAGGCAGGACAATTGGCAGAATATTGCACAGCTATCAGCCAATCAGATTCAAGAACCAGACAGAACTGTTGTATAAAATAAATATATACAGTACAATGTTGATACAGTGCTAAAATGTCTTATTTTCCTCTCTGTTTCACAGGCCCATTTCTGTGTTTGCTCTCCATACTGCTACTGAATGAATTTTTAGGATACTTTACTTTTTAATAAAGCCTGATGTGTGTCACTTAAATGCAATGAAACAAGCCTTTGCACTCTTACAATTACATGCAAAATACTAAATATAGACACGCATGCATGCATACATCCACACACCATACGTGTCTCAGGGAGTGTATCCACACATTCCTTTACATATTCACTTTTTGTAACCATTTTTACTTGTTGAATAAATATTAGTAGAAGCAGAAAATAATATCCGAATCAGATGTCTTTAGTTTAACAGACACTGAGTTTTTGTATCTTGTATTAAATGTGAAAAATATTGTGTAGTTAAACTCTTGTAAAAGATTTTCTTCATTGATCATTTGTTTAAAATGCATTTGTAAATAAAATTCTTGTTTTTAAATGATATTTGCTATCATTTCCTACTATACAGCATGAATATATAAGAAGCACAGTCAAACTAGACATCAGGTACAGTGAGGGTGTACATGTCTGTCATTTTAGTCATTGCCGATGTCCGCTGTATTGTTCTTCTCTCTTTAAAATCTCCATCATTTGCTGCTTTGGTTTTCTCCTGTTTGATGTGACAAGACTGTCCACATACAAGACACGTCAGATCATATACCACTGTTATTTATTAAGGTCACTACTGAAAAATGTTTTACACTTACAAAATAAAAGTAACCACAAGTGGCTTGATACTTACATCTGTTCCTGATTTAGGACTTGGATTACTGTCCTGGCCAGTGGGTGGAAACGTGAATCCAGGTTTGCTCAACAACCAGAACGTTTTCTGTGTTCCCTTTCCCTAGAAAACACATTTGAGATGTGATTAGACCCACAGACATGGTAGGACAGTAAACACAAGTCTTATGGCTTGTTAACAACTGATATTCAGATTCATTACCATTTAAACTAATTATTTAAAAAGGTCTTTTTTCAACACTTTGCAAAAAATTAATAAAATACTTTAAAATAAGCTTACAGTATTGCGTATACAGTATATACACCCAAAATGACACACAACAGAAATTATTTTATGCTTTAGATTCTATTCTGAATGCTGTGATTTGTGATAAAATCAGGAACTTTTTTTTTGTTTTGTACCTTTTATATGTCTTTTATTTACTTGTCCTTCATTTTCTTAATACTAGGTGTACACTGAAAAGATATTAAAGGCCTCGTGAAGTGCTTTGAAATGTGAGTTTTTTTACGTGTAAAATAATTTGAACTGAAACATGAAGGGCGGGGCATATAGTAACCCCTACCCCTTAGAAAAAATACCCAATAGCATTTTGTTTTTATCACAGCTCAATCAGTGAGAGTGGTTGATCTCAAGCGCATATCGCAATAGCTTCTTGGAGGGGGTGCATGGGACATGTCAGATACCCAAAACATTTGATTGGTCTGAAGATTTGATGGGAAACTGAAGTATGAGATGCTGTCAAAAAATTATTGATTCATTCATGTGGATGTTTATGTCTGTTTAATGCAAATTTTGTTATTGTTTTCTATCACACTAGATATCATTAAGACTAGCATACCGATACTAACATCTTAAAAACTTTATTTCGATTTTACGGGGACTTTAATATAAGTTTACACCTTAACATTTGTGTTTTATATTGTTCCCCAACCTAGAAGATACCATCTGTGTACAGATTCTGCAGATTTTAGTGTGATCCCAGATGTAAAACCACAAGACGTTCCACACAGTATGATGAATAGCATTTTACAAACCTTAATTTCAATATCGCCCCTTTCCTCCAGTTCAAATGTGCCAATTGTCAAGAGAATATCAGCAGTGCTCTGAGAGATATGGATTTTCAGTGCTGAAAAGGAGCAAGAATAAACTTCAGTATTAATTGCAGAAAAAAATATTAAACCTAGACTGATTAAATAGTCCTAAGACTAAATTGGGTGCTGTTTAATAGTTTTAAGACAACTTTCATAAAAGAGTTTGAACCACTTTAAATGTTGACTACTGTTTATCAACTGGTAGATGCAGAAAAAACATATTAAAAGTCCTTACGAAGACTATTGCTCTCCATCCTAGAAGCTGTGTTGACTGTATCTCCAAATAAACAGTAGCGAGGCATTGTACTACCCACTACTCCAGCAACTACTGGGCCTGAAGATTGATATCAAATATACAGTATTTACTTACGTATACGCCTCAATACACTTAGTTTATAAATAAAGTGTATAATTGCATACCAGAATTAATCCCAATCCGTAGGGCTAGTCTCTCATTGGGCAGGTGCCTTATTTTGAACCTTTTGATGGAAGAGAGGAAGTGCAATGCCATAGTAGAGATCTCCTCAGCATGAAGAGTACCATTACTGATAGGAAGTCCACTGGCCACCATATAGGCATCTCCAATAGTCTCCACCTACCAGAGAAATAACATAAAGAAATCGGTCAGATAGTAAGAAAACAAGTCATTCCCAGACTTCCTAAGGAGTATATGTCTCAAATTGCTACATTTAAATGCTTTCTTTACTGCTGTTTTCTCACTGCTGTCATTTTGGCGTGTTTATTTTGTTATTGAGAGCAATGGAAGCAGAACATATTTACATAATATAAACTGTGCTCTAAGCACCCTGGATGTTCATTACCAATATATTGCTACTGGTACCAGTACATTGCCATCAGTATTTCTAACCACAACTTACATTAAAACTACAAAAAACAAAAAAGAATAGTGAGAATATATCTGGGCTTTGACATTCAGGGCGTACTCACACTATGTACAGTTGTCTTGAACCGGGCCGAAGCACGCTTGTCCCCCCTCCCGTCTCCCCCCCCTCACTTACATTACATTCGGGCCTGGGCACGCTTATGTCATCGATGCTGCGCTGTTCAGTAAGCGCTCTCGCTCAGCACAGTGAGATTTCTTTAGTTAAATCTTTTAAGTCGTTTGATATGCAGTGACACGCAGTCAAATATTTCACTTAGGAGATTAGCCACTTTCGACGCTCAGAAACAGTCTTCGTGCTGCAGGAATTAGGAGGTTTGCTGAAGTGCGCAGCTGTCGTACAGTGAGAGGTTTGCGTCTTTAATAAACTACGACAGTTCGCGTGAACCATAAGAATGATTACTTACATGAAACACTCCCATAAAAGTCACGTCTTGCTTTCTGTTTCGGGCTTAGGTTCCTTTTGCACTCACACACAAGCGTACCGCACCAAAGCCCAAGTAAACCGCGCTCAGGCACACCTCTTCCAACAGGGCATTGGATTCAGCCGATTCAGCGCACTCACACTACTCAAACGATCTAGGAAACGGGCCTGGGCACGGCTCGGATTGCATAGTGTGAGTAGGCCCTCATATTCAGAATTCTTGTACTTCACATGCAGGATACATCAGTGTTTTTCAACCCTGTTTCAGAATGCACATCTGAATGAACTCTTCAGAACATAAAAAGAGACTCCAAAACCTGAATTTAATGGGTCAGATAAGGGAGACATCCGAAATATGTACTGCTGGTGTGCTTCCAGGAACAGGGTTGGGAAACACTGGGCTACAAGAGTGCAAAAACAAAAACAAATCCGTTGTACTATTCAAATCCTTCATCCATTCATGCCATATTATGCTCAAACTCATTCAGTCTAAACATTTTAACAAGAAATTAGTCAGTATGTTAGACCTGAACAGAAATACAGTACTGCATATCAAGGTAAGTAATGCTTAATTTACCTTGTAGACATCATATAGCTTGATGATATCATCAAAAAGGCTGTAGAGGTCATTGAGAAGAGTGACCACCTCCAGAGCAGAGCTAACAGAGCACATAGTGGTGAAACCCACAATGTCAGAGAAGAAGATGGTTACCATTTCATAACTTCTGGGCTCCACTGATTTTCCAGCCATTAGCTGATCAGCAATATACCTTTTAAAAAACCCATATACAGTACAGATAAATCGGCAGTTGACAAATAACATATCCAATTAAAACTACGCTTTTCTTATGCATTTTGGCTGTTTATTTACACACATTTTGGAGATTTCATAGTGCAATTATTTGACTATGTTTCAATTATTATCTATAAACTAACTACATACAGCGTTAGGGGTAATGCATACCAACACAAGTTACGTAATAATGTTACAAGTAAAGTAATGTAATTACCTAAAAAAATTAAGTAATAATATTTAATTACTTTTTTAAAAATGTAATGCGAGTTACTTTTTAGCTTAATTAATTAGCTTTTAAAACATAATCTGCTGAATTAGAATAAACATTATCACACTGACCCACTCACTCAATAAGAAAATGCACTCCCAACATGAACACACAGAAACGAAGATGGAAGGCCAGAGCCTCTGCAATGGAAGTCGTCTCATTACTTTAAGCTCAAGTTCAGTTTATTTCAGATCAGTGTGGTTTAATTTTCACTGCTAAAACTCCAAACACTGAAGAGCAAATCCATAGATGCACAGCTTCACAAGTACCAATCCAAGCATGTCAGTGGCAAGGAACAAAAACTTCACCAATTGACGAAGTGAAGGAAAAAAAACCTCAAGAGAAATCAGGTTCTATTGGGCTCTGAACTTAAACTCTGAAATCTGGACTTTACTAGAACTTCTATGTTAAGCGGCTTTGACACAATCTACATTGTAAAAGCGCTACATACTGTATATAAACGTGAATTGAATTGAATTATTTTGAATGCATTAAAGAAAAACTTAAAAGAAGATTGTCTCAGTGGAGTTGAGTTGGAGTCTCAGTGAGTTTACTTAACTAATAAGACAAAAAGTACAAAAGTAGCAAACACATTGCTTTAAACTTTCATTAATCTGTATATACGACATGTACAGCTCTGGGGTCAGGAAGTTCTCAGAAGATAACATTGTCCTAAATTATAACTGTTTATCATGTTTGTGAAAGGAAAATTAATGTTATACTGTGCATTGTTTGATGTCACAAAGATGAGGTCACAAGCATATTATTTGTCCAGTCTATAGGCATGTGTGATTGTTTAAAAAAAACAACAACAATGGCCGACTATAGGACTGTATCTCTGCTGCTTAAGATTGGGTTGGCATATATAATACTAGTTCCCATCATTTTTTAGAACAAACCTATAGTTTATGTGAGCAAATTTTTCTTTTTTTAATTATTTCTATTAAAAAGTTATATTTATCAGTTTCTTTTTTTAAATGTTTTTTTTTATTGATTCTAAATTATTCCTAATTACTTAAATATTTTATGCATAATGATTATAATGCAATTCGAAAATATAAAAATAAGTTTAGGTTTCACATAATATTCTCCATTTAATATCAACTACCCATATAAAATACTACATAGAGTATAGTACAACTGCGTAGCATGCATCTATGCTTTGGTGTCAAGTTTTGGCAGCAGCTCACAGAAAATACATGAACAAAATGTCTCTA